AACTTTTGTATTTTATAATAGTAATAGGATAGTAGGTACGATTAATAAGGCAAAAGCTTAGGGATTCGTATGACGATATCTAATCAAGTTTTGTTAAATAGGTCGGATATGCTCCAATGAATGGCTGTGTCCATGCTCCCCACTCCTATGAAAAGGGGAAGGTCACTAGTGGCGCCTGTGACGGCGCCAGGCCGTCGCTCTATCTATGACAATAGGAATGTTATTGATATGCATAAAAATACGAACAAGTCATATTTTAAGGTTCTGTAGCTAAACGATTGAAACGGTACTTTATAATTTTGTCGTGTCTGCCCATCTGTTTTAATAATGTACATGAAACTTTACAGGAATATGTAAGTGAGTCTAACTTTCTTAAAAAGTATCTATATTAAAATGATAATAAAAATAGAAAAAGGAATGACGAAATAGATGTAGGTAAAAGGTAAATATAACGTATCACAATTATTCACGATCTGGTGTCTGTGTAATAGAAGAATTAGGAAATTGAACGAAGTAAGAGTATGTGTAGGATATTAGAAAGTTTTCCTCCCGTAAAGGACGGAGAATTAAATATTTTTTTAAAAACCGTACCATACATCAAAATAGGTTTTTATGGGATCACCAGATTACATTAAATGAGATCGATCAACATAACTTACTAGAAACATTTTTAAATTCAATAAAATTCATTTAAACATATTTAATTTTTTTTATTAGTGTAGTTTTTTCATAACTGCCACTTTTTTTGGTTATACAAACTTCCTGTATCATAGTTAAATTGAAAAAGTTTGTCCAATCTTCATACTTAATTTTTTTTAGTTTTTTAGCAGGTATGTGTGAAAAGCCTGAATTTAATAAGGATAGTAATAAAGTATAAATAAATACCTACTACGCAAAATTAATTACATTGCTTGAAAATGAAACTTACAATTGCTCCACAAAAAAAAAATGGATTGCAATTGTGGCAAAACTAGTTCTTTTATTTTAAAAACTAAGCTACTAAACCGATTATAACATTTCTATTAATTTGAAATATATTTTCTCAGATAAAAAATACCCAAATCGGTTTATAACTGATAGTTTCTTTTTTAATAGATGATAGTGGAATTGTAGACTAGGAATTCTAACATCACAATGGGGTTGTTGATCTGTCATTCTGTCATTCTCATCTATCATCCCCTACCCGGTGGTCCTACCATTATCGCCTACTAGAAAAACACCTAAGAGGACAACGTAAATAAGCTGGAAACATGAAGTTAATTAGAAAAATTATATAAAAACTACCTATTGAAAATAAACAACTACAAGAATTAACAGAATATTGCTCGGATAATTCGTTGACTGATTCCTATTCACTAAATGGATTAAATTATTTTTTTCCGACAACAGCGCTATTTACCATTTAATGTCAAGACGTTCTGTCTTCTAATTCATTAGTAGGTAACTTTAGTTTCTTCAGATGCAAAATTAACGGTCGTTCCCTCATCGTTTTTAGGCAATACGAACCATAGGTGTCAAAAATGTAAATTTACATCATACATAGTACATTTTTTGGCTATTATAATTATTCATTATCTACAAGTATGCTTGAATACCAAAGATAATGGATAGGGAATTAAGTCCATGCAACATTATTGTCTGTTGTATTGCTCTGGATGATAATGACAACCTTAAATGACAGCTGACATTACAAATAACATTGACAGCAGTATATTTATGCTATTTGAGCGGCGCTAAATAATTATTATAATTTCTATTTTAAATTATTATTCCTTATTTATTAATTAAGTGAACAGAAACTGTAATACCAAAATAATCCTAAACTGCAAATTAATTGAAACTTTTTATAAGATGTTATAGTGAATTACAACAGAAATGGAAGAAGAAAGTGTGTTGAAGCCGTTGTTTTATTTCTTGATTTACTTTGTTTCAAACTATTAAATTAAATTAATTTATTTTAGAACTAATTCGAAGGAAGAAAAAGGCTTTGAACGGTAGTAACAGACGTGCACTGGCTGAAGCTTGCAACGATTTAGCTACATTCTATTACAAACATAATCGTTATAGCGATGCCCTGGACGAATACAAGAATGAAGCGGCTATTACTAAGGAACTGGGCCTTCGAATGGAGTGGGGCACTTGCAATCGTATGATTGGTGAGATGTATATGCTGCTCGCCGAGTTTGAAAAAGCTCTGAAGTTTGAAGAACGTCATTTGGGTAATTATACAAAGTTTTATAAATCACATATAAAATTTTATATAAACCACAAGCCAGTACCATTTCCACTTATCTCTGTTTATGTTTGTTTACCATGGTATACTAATAATCTAAATCACAATATATAATAAGAGTGTTAATATATAAGACTTGCAGTCTTCTATATTATTTATATATTTCCATTGAATGCACATTTTATTAAATACATACATTTTATTAATAAAACATTTGCTTATTACTATAATCCTTGATGTGACAGTCAGAAGCTTTTGTCAACTTATGTTCGTGGTGAATGTAATCCTTGATATATTGCACCATGTAAAGGTCATTCTGTTTCAGGTGTTAGATTTTAGATTATACAATTGAAAATATCCCACTTTTAAAAAATAAATCTACAAATGCAGAATTACTTTGAAAACAATAATATTTAATGATAAGAACTCTAATTTTCAAAGACATACTGTCCTATTTATTATTGGAAATTTAAGTACTAAGTACAGTTGTCTTCTATTTTTTAATAGCACAATACAAAAAGCAAATTACAACTTTGTACCATACATCATAAACATATTTTTGACAGATATGAGCATCATAACTGTCTCTAATTACTTATTATATGTTTATTCTTGTTACTTAAAATCCATTAGCATGACAAATCAGACTGGCAAAATTAATGTTCTGTGTACTTTTATTGCCTTTTGACTGATATTTTTCAAGAAAATCAAACAATGTGAATCAACAATTCCAGAACAATCGGATTATCTCGACATATAGTTCCAAAATAATTTAAAATGTAAAACTATATTAGTATTTAGAAATTATGGTATACTCAATAGGACATGGCATCTCCACACTTTACAATTTACATATCTAATCCCATATGATACTACTTTCATCTTTGAATGGTTGCATCTGGATACCAATACTGGGTGTGTTTTAACATGCTAATACTATATTAGCGAGTATTGAAAAATTATTGAACATAATCTTTACTGGTATATTCTATAACACTACTCAGCATATATAGGGAATATATTCCAATACCTTGGAAGAAATGAAGATATTCCCAGACTTCAGTATAAAGACTGAACAATTTTAACCAATATTTTTTTTTCAGCTGTTGCAAAAGAACTAAATAATCAGGTAGAAGAGCAAAGAGCAATGGCAACAATTGGCAGAATTTATTTATTACAAGGACAGAGTACAAATGATGAGAGTGAAGCCAACACATTATTGAAAGCTGCTGAGAAAGCATTTATGAAAGGGCTTGTATTGTGTGAAAGGTAATAAATATGAACATTTATTAAAAGACTATAAACAAAACATATGTAATTTAAAGATAAATATAGTTATGGAACAGATTCATATTTAACCAACTTAAAAAAGAAGGAGGTTCTCAATTTGTTGTCTCAATATTTTTTTATAATTTAAACCTGACCGAGTTATGAGTATTAACTCATAATTAAACCAAATTGAAAAATTCTTTCTGTATCTGAAAATGTATATTTACAGATCGGTTCAATAAAAGTTTAATATTTTATTTTAAATTAACATAACTGGTTTTGTTACAATAAAATTCTGTTTTTTTTTTGTAAAACAATCTTAATTTATAACAATTAATTAATTAACAATCTTAATTTACAATTCTAAAATATATTCATAGTATTGAAGTTTTTTATTTATTTATTGCATACACCTAGATATTGTAAAAGACAGACTTTACACCAAATGATACTATCTACCAGTTAATCATAGACAGAAATAACAGAAAATATAATTGATAGTGCAATGTAATGAGCAAATAAATAAAAAGTAAAGGATATTAATATGCCATGTAAATACAATAATATAAAAAAGTAATATATTAATAACATACATATATAATATCATTATTTAAAAATATTATTTTTCAGTTTGAATGGGAAGATAAATAAACATGAACTGATGGACATGCGTGCAAGGCTGCTCCTGAACATAGGAGTGGTACAAGAACACCTTGGTTTCTTTGAAAAAGCTGTTGACTGCTTAAAAAAAGCCATATCAATATGCAGTACCTTACATGATTTGTATGAAATAAACTGATGATTTGACATAATTAATGTTACAAATCTCATGTTAAAATATTAGTTTTCATCTCTGAGTCTGTTCAATCACAAAATAAAAAAATGGAATGGACTATCAATATACATGGCTCTGAGTTGTTTAAATAAATCAATCGCTTTGGAGGTTGCCAGTCGATAAAAGTTTCTGAGGATAAGGTAACATTTTCTTACAATGCTTCATGGTCTGAGCTGAAACTACTATGTTGTAGTATAAATGAACTGATAGATTTGAAGTGACTGTTTTAATGTATAAAAATCTCATGTTAAATTTTGTTAATTTTTTTCCTGGTGAATAGTGCCTGTGTTGTAATCTTGTACCAATATAAAGTCTGAGGTAGTTACTAGTAAATGTATAAAATTAAAGTTAATTTGTTTAACTGTAAAACAAATCCTTCTTGGACTGTAATGTTTAAACAAACACCTATTCCTTCGATTTATTTTATTTATCTTTTAAAAGCATTTTATTAGAATTCTAAGATAATTATTGTTAATTTTCAAAGAATATTATTTCATTAGACTACTGTATTTGTGATTATGAGCCCATTGTTGCCTCTTTGCTTCTTATAATACTGATATTTTGTATACATATCTTTATGCAATTGTATCTTTCTTTGAGAGGAACAATAGTTTTCATTCATTTATTTATTATTTTAGTATTTTATTTATTTATTGATTATTTAATATATGGCATATTTTAGGTTCTCAAATCGTGCGAAACACTATCATCTAAGGCTGACATTTTGTGTAAAATGTCAGACTATCAAAGTGCTAAGCAAGTTTTGCTGAAAGCTTGGAAAATGAAGACGCCTGATGAAGAGGAGAGAGAAAATATTGAGTCTAATCTTAAAGTTGGTTAGTTATTCATTCATCATCATCGTTTATCTTAACTATAAAGAGGGTTTTCTCAGATTCAATACTGTATTATCATAGCTCCCAAATAAATTACATTGAAATGGTTTTGTTTGCTAATATAATATAATTCCTTTAATATAAATATATTTTAATAAACTAAAAATGTAAAACTATTTCTCTAGTCAAGATTGTTTAATATTTCAAAATAATACCATTCACAGTTGCGGCTATGTGCTACACAGAGGATCTTCTTATATCTACCGATCCTAATGATCATGGGGCATTTAAAAAATTATATGAGAAATTAGGGGATGGTGCATGTCATCTTCGGAACTTCGCTGGAGCTGTTGAATACTATCTTAAGATGTTGGACCACGCTGAATTGGCTGGTGATTGTGGGAAAACTCTAATACCCATTTATGTCAGGTATGTATGTGTAATATACTTAATTGCAGTTTTTCATAAGAGGGTTCTGTAGCAGAATAGCTAATTGAGTTATAATTTTGTATTGTCCATTGCCCTAAGTGCAGAAGTACTTTTTTCATTGTTTTTTTTTTTACCAAAGATGGTAACGAAATTAAAAGCTGCTATCTGAATAAAAAAAGAACTTATAAAAACTTTAAATAAAAAGTTAAAGTTTAAAAGAGAAATTTGAGTAGATACATACTACATATAATAACCATATATGTTATATGAATGAACATTAAATGATGAATACTATATTTTATTATTACAGTTTATACCAGACATACAAAGACATGGGCCGCTATAATGAGGCTTTGCATTATTATGAGAAAGAATATGAACTGATAAGGGATGTTCCCAAAGAGGCCTACACCACTCTATGCAATATAGCTGAAGTATTGTTCTTAGCGAAGAAATCATATGAACAAGTGGAAAAAGCTTGCTTGGATGCTAGGAATGCTGTAAGTAGCTTGAAGTGTTATGAACTGTATTTAAATTTGTAATAAAAAAAGAAGCAAATTTACTTCAATCTTTTACTACACAAATTGACTGTTATGTTATACATTTACACTATCTTGTTTTATACATGTATATTTAATATGAATACTACATATTTATACACTATGTATTAATGTATATTTGGTGAATATATAATTTTAGAAACATTGTATGTTTGCACCCCAGTGGTATAAAAAAGAAAAGAAAATAAATATTGTAACTAAATAATAGATATTAAAAAGGTAATAATAAACAGTTTATGAAACTATTTTAGTATCCATTATATTTAAGATTCTGTAAAAATAGTGATAATCGTCAAATTCTTAATTTAGAATTCACTGCTTTTATGGTTCAAGATTTGTCTATAATTCAAATTAACAATATGATTTGCTAATTATTTATATTAGTGTTCTAGCTGTGTTTGCTTTATTTTAAATATATTTTAAATATTTTAAATTTTATAAAAAAGACATGTTGACAGCTGGAAAAAGAATGAGTTTTTATTTTTTATTAAATTCAAATTATTATAAATAACAAAAAGTTTTCATGTGTTAACAATTTATTATATTTTATAGGCAAAAGAATGGAATAAAAGAAAGTATGAAGTGAGAATTTTAAAGAATCTGGTTAAATATCAAGAGGAGTATGATGAGACGGACAAGATGGAAAGTACCAAGAATGAATTGAGAATGTTAGGTTATGATGATTTCGATAATTTGGAAAATTCTGAAGATGAACAAAGTTCGGCTGGCGCATGCGATGAGGATACCACACACATTGGCGACGATATATGTCTTGATGACCTCACAGGTAAGAAATTATAATTTTAAATCTATTTAAACACGTTTTTACCATTTGCATGTAATCACAGTATAAATTTAATTTTAAAAGTGAACACTCATTAAGTTACAATCATGCCATGATTACGTTTATGAACATAAACACCGTTTTTATTGCGACAAGTAAATAAGAAAATTTGTGTGTTTTATATCCTTGAAGTACATGTAATAAATATGTACATACTAATGAAATATTGTTTACCTTTTGCTGAGAACATTCGAAATTAACGGCCACGGAAATACCCTAATTGTACAAGTCTCAACTTGAATAGGGTTTTACTATCGTGGGAAAATTTATGTTATTCAGAATATATATATTAATTGGCTTATTTAAAAGCTTTTTCTATCTAATTATTGATGATTAATATCATCATAAGTAATAAGATATAAAAAGTTGATTTTCATCCGAAATTTATCCAAATATTAAAATTAACAGCAATTTGTAATCATGCATTGTGAATAGGAATAATAAACACACAGCAATGATAATGATTAAATAAGTAATAAGAGATTAATTAATGTTTCAGATTTATCGGATACCAATGAAGAAAATGTAACGGAAACCACACGCGAAACCCGAAAAAGAGGTAAAGGTTATGCCATCAAAAAGAATATGAAAGGTGAAACACAACTGCATGTGGTAAGTTTAAATATTATATTAATACATGCTAATATTATATATTAGGGTAACAGTTAATTTTTTTTTTATACTACTTAGATTGACAAACAAGCTGACGGCCCACCTGATAGCGGTAAGTAAACGGAAAGTGGTAACCGTCGCCTATAGACATGAGCAGCACCATGGACATAACAGAGTATACTGTTTCGCCCATGATACCTCCCCATGCGTTGCTATTTCTGAGGACTCAGGTGTTATTCCTCTGTACCCAGTAAATTCACGCCATATCCCACCCTTCAAACCGAAACACAGCCATACAAACACAACTGCTTCACGGTAGAAACACGAATGGGACAGAGGTACTCAAGCAATAGACTTTTGTACAAAGTCTCCCTCTGGTTATTATAAATATCATTTTATGTATGCTTGGCGTCAATATTAAGCTCATAAAACAGTTGCGTTAACTATTTCTACATAAATATTATTTAATTTCCAGGCATGTATATCTGGCAACAAATTGTTAGTAGAAAGGTTAATAGCTAAAGGTCACCCCGTAAATGTAAGAGACAATGCAGGCTGGATGCCTTTACATGAAGCATGTATACATGGACATATTGAAATAGCGAATATTTTAATCAATAACGGTGGTACTGTGAATGACAGGGGTGGGTCGAACTGTGATGGTAAGTTGAGTGCTATATATGTTTTTATAATTGTTAAAGACATTAGAGTAACATTGCTCATACGAAAAGTGCAGTATCTATGATACATTTAATTTAAAATGTGCTTTAATAGTATTTTTTTTTATACGATAAATTTTAATAAATCAATTTTATCCCCTTCAAAGTACTTGAATAATGCACTTGTGCTGTGAGAAGGCTCCTTGAAAGTCCTCTGGTTGTAGGTTTTTTCATTTATGTCCCCCAAATGCCGCCCCCGAAGTACCAATTTGGTTTTTGGGAACAAGAAGAAGTCACACGGGGCCAAATCCGGCGAATAGGGGGGGTGTTCGGTCACCGTAATGGAATTTTTACTCAAAAACTCACGGACAACAAGAGAGGTGTGGGCAGGGGCATTGTCGTGGTGAAGAATCCAACGCCCCTCTCGCGCCAATTCTGGACGAACTCGTGCCACACGAGCTTTGAGGCGTCTGAGCACATCGACGTATCAACTGTCTGGCCTGGAGGGACGAATTCTTGATGGACAATCCCCCGAACATCGAAAAAAACAATCAACATTGTCTTGACATTTGAGCGGGATTTTCTTGATTTTTTTGTTCGTGGTTCCCCGGATGTCTTCCACTCTTTGCTTTCACGGCCATTCTTGCCGATATTCGAGAGAAACTTGATTACGACGCGCTGCTCTTCAACGGAAGCGGGCTCCATGCCGACGGGGTTTCGTTAAGAGGTAACTTCACAGATGGCGTGACAAGCCAGTTCAGACCAGAACTGAAGCATTGTTAGGGACATAAGGAAGGGGTCCTGCGCTTACCTGGCCTCCCCATCTTTCTCGCATTCCAGAACACTTTTATACGAACTTTCCGGACAGACCTCGTATTATAAAGTATCATTTGAAATTGTGGATATTTTAGGTATAACCCCATTATATGACGCAGCTAGCAATGGTCATTTAGAAGTGGTACAATTGTTACTAGATAAAGGTGCTTTGCCAACCCTTAAAACTGACTTTGGTGAGACACCATTGGATGTCTTGCAAAAATGGCGTACTGGAACTATATTAATAAAAGAAGAAGAGACATTATATAACAACATATGCAATAAAATAAATAATTTGATTGACAAGACTAACACAACAGATTACAGTAGAACAGACCAAATTCCTAATAGATCTAAATCAAAGACCCCTGTGAAGCCAATTATTAATAACACTCCACCTAGCACGTCAAAAATGACAAGTAGGATAAGAGAATTAGAATCACCTATATTTAAAAGACGAAATATTATTGATGACGATAGTGATGATGATATAAATTTATCACAAAATATTAGAAATCAAACTGCATTTCCATCAGATGATTCAAATGATTCTTTTGATGATTCTAAAACAAAGAAAAGCAAAAGTGCAGCTTCGGGTGTAATAGAGTATAGAAACGCAATATCAGCATTAAGAAATAGAACTACTGATGAATTACCAGAGGTTGATATAATAAAATCAAAACCTAAACCAGCACTTTTGGGCCCTGATGATGTTGATGACGATTGGCTCGATGATGATTTAGGTGTGAGTAAGGGAAAAAAAAGAAAACTTAGTGACCCTTTGACTGTTGTAGCCAAAAAACCATCTTATGAAAGTATAAAGGACAATATTGATAAAATAAATAAGATTGAGCCTCTTGTAGAAAACAATAAGAGTAATAAACAAAATAAATTGCGAATTAGTAATGTAATAGATATAAATGAAAATAGTTCTGACTCTGATAGTTTTAGAAATGAGAATGTTAGCCCTAAAAAACGTGATGTTGGCTCTATGAGAAATATAAGAAATGAATTAAATGATTCTAAGTCTAAAGATAGTAGAGAGAATATGAAGCGGCGTTGGAAGACTCAAAGCACTCTATTGAAAGCTGGTTTTCAAAGAAAGAGGGATGCTGATCAGTCAAGTAATAGTGGGAGTGATAATGAAATGACTAGAAACATAAGAGTTAATAGATGCGAGATACCTACTGTTTCCTTTTCAAGAAAATCTTCTGGAGAGAATTTCAACAATGATAATTTTAATATTGTGCAAAACATAAACCCTAACATTGTTCAGCCAATGAATGTGATACAACCGATAAGTATTGTTCAATCGTCTAAAAATGGTCGGCCAATACAAACGCAGATATTACCTCCTGCTGCTGTAAAGGTACAGGTGGAAGATAAAGTGTTACTAATATCATTGAAATTGGACACTATAAATAAGCTAACAATCAGCTGGCTGGTTGACGAAGTGAAATCTAGATATTATAAGTGAGTAAAAAATGTTTTATTTATTAATAATTGACATTAAAATATATGTTTACTCATATGCTTGTGGCCAACCCTGACTTTTTAGTCGAATAAATAAGTGCCCTGTGTGTTGTTTTTATCGGCTTAGCTATTTTGCTATCAATTTCTATTCATATTAAATATTGATTTTAAAATCTTAATTGATTAATGCCAGCTTTTACTAGTTGTGTTGGTACTTTTATAAATTTTGTATCTTTTTTCTTAACGAGTTAAATAGACACCAAAAAAGATTTTTTGATAATAATTTTGATTGTTTATTGGGTTCCGCACAGGCGATGCTTCTAAAATTCTAGTTTGTAATAATATCTATCAAGTAGTAACAAAATGTTAGTCAGCATGCGACTTTGTTTTTATTTAAAGATACATAAAAGTAATTGGATTCTAATACGTAGGCATATCTAGTGTTGTGTTAACCACAACAGCCTAGAAATAGTTTAGAATTGGCTCTAACTTATGAACAGATTTATTAATTAATGCTCTTTTCCACTGAGGGTTTGCTGGAAGAGAACTCTTACAGAGTTAAACTCACCTATTGCGCCGCCTTATTTACAATAAATTATGAAATTGTAATTTTTGTGTACAATAAAGTATAACAAAAAAAAGAATTATAATAACTTTTACTTTCAGATTGACAGGCGTCCGACCAGTATTTAGCCTGATGACTTCTGACGGCGCTATACTGTCAGAGGACGACCCATTAAGCCTAGTGTTGGCATCACCAGAACTGAAAACTTGTATCACCAACTGGAAGGCGTCGCCCGCTGAAGAGAGGTACTTGGAGTGCTGCGACGCTTTGGGAATATGTAAGTACTAGCTGTATCCCGCAGTTTTGACCAATCTTTTAAGGGAAAGTAACCGTAATCTATATCATTAAATGTTTACCTTTTAATAAAATAAAATAGGATTATCATTATAAATTTAGGTGAAGGTTTTTTAGTTCTTCCATTTTCGTTACATTGTTGTAATAAATTTTATTGTTAAATATGATCTTTAGCACCATCTGAAGAAATCCAACAGGCCGTCGGCAGAAGTCACACCACCCATCGACTCGCACTCGGCGCCAGAACACTATCATCCTTACAAATAAGGCCATTGTTTCGCGCCATGACCCATCAAACACACATCACAGCTGTCATGATTTCTGATAATAACTTAGGAGACGATGGCGTCAAATATTTAGCTGAAAGTATATGTACAATGAAGCAGTTATCCATTTTAGATATTAGCATAAACAATATCACCGCCGACGGGACAAAACACCTGTTAAATATTTTCGAAAAGTCCACAAGACCTGTATGTCAAACGTTAGAAGAATTAGACTTAAGTGGCAACCCAATATCGGATTATGGCTTCAGAAATGTAGTGAAATTATGCCAATATGTACGATTAAAAGTACTTAAAATAAATAATTGTAGAATAACAGAGAACTCTATAAATGAAACTGTTAAATCTAATATGAGTTTTGATAGTTTAGAATCGATTGATATAAGTAATAATGAGGTGAAACAAGTAATGATCAGTTGCCTTGTGACGTCACTGAATCCCAATTTACTAACGGATTTGGAACTGGACAATATAAGCGTGGAAGGCAGTGTGGTAGGGTGCCTAGCTACTTTCATGGATTCAGCTAAAGATCTGAAGATACGGCGATTTAGTTTGTCCAACTGTAAATTAGTTGATGGACAGTTCATGAGAATATTCAGGTTAGTATTAAAATGTCCTACTTTTATCCCAATTATTATTTGGGGTCAGCGTAATATTTTTCTCTTCCATTGTTCTATATTTATTAAATGCGTAAATGAACATTGAAAAAAATTTTTGCACTTTAATCTGGCTGCAAAACTTGCAATCTTTTCATTACCTGTCAAAATTCAAATATAATTTAACAGTTTTATATCAAGAATCTTTATTGTGAAATAAAACGTTAATCATGCAATAAGACATTGGAATTTGATAGAAAAAAAAGTATTTGAAAATTTCAAGCAAAGAATGTTAGTTAAACATTTTACTATTTTAAAAACTATATAATTTTTTTTAATTTTAATGCCCAATAATTCCTCTCTTTCCGTAAGTAGGCAAAATAGACAAAAGATTATCAGAGAAATCAGTTTAGGGTACGATGGGGCTGATATACCTAAAAAAAGTAATAGCCTTTAAGAAATAAAAAAAAAGATTAAAAATATTAGAAAGAGAAATAATGTCTATGAACTCTTTGCAGTTTGTTCACGCTTTTATTTATTATATCTATATGTTTCCAGATCTCTGGGCCGCGCCAAGCACTTACAGTCCATAACGCTAAAGAACAACTTTCTGACATTTATCACCTTGAAGAAATTGTTACAACGCCAGCCTCCAGTGCCTCAGATCAATTTAGATGGCTGTCAAGACATATTCAAGTACTCACCTGACTCGGACTTCCATGTTTGGTTACCAGCTATAGACTTTGGGAGATGTATTCCTGAGATTAACCTTACACCTGTCTCAAAAACTGACGCAGAAAGAGAGAGCTTCAAGGCTTTTTCTAAAACATGGCTGAACTGTTTTAAAGGAAGAGGCGTCATAGAACATTGCGACAGAGGTGTAATTAAGTTCACTGCTAAATGAAACTGTGCCTTAGTGTAATATGAATTAGGTGTATAATTTGTTTGTATGCATAGGAATGAAATCATTGACATTGATAATAACTGTTTATATTTTTTTATATTTATACTTTATAAAAACGAATTAATAGTTTATTAGTTTATTTCGTTCATAAAACGTTTCAGTTGATATTGGGCGCTTTTATTCTTTACCATGCACGATTTATCATGAACTTACACGTTATTATCGTACAAATGAACGCTTATACTTTACCACGGACGTCCACGATATCGTGGAGTGCCGACGTATTTTTTTATTATTATATATAACTTAATTTGTATACTTAGGTAAAATCTAGCAATCTAAATTAGGACCAATTCTTCTTAACCGATTATGCTGTAATATTGCCGTTACAAGATGAAGTATTGTATATATTTTATTAACCTTGTTAAAATGGTTATCAAAATAAATTACATGTTAAGCATTAAGTCCGACATGTACACATATTTGTACTAATAAATAAATAAATAAATGTTTACAAATGGCCGCAGCCACAAAATGGCGTATTACCATTATAGACTTATTAAAGTTTTCTCTACCACAAAGTGTCAGTAAAGTAAAAATGGTGATGATTATTTTTTATAGTTTTGTAATATACAAATAAATATATGAACAGCTTTAAATATTTGTTTCTAAATAATTTTGTGTTTTTTTTTAATGGATGATAATGGAATGGTAACCCCGCCTGCGCTAACGGGGCTATACGCTGGCGGGGCACCAATGATAGATGATAGGTGAGGATGTAAAGGCAGGTCAGTTAGTCCATCGTGATGAATACACTTGGGATTCAGCACGATGGTTTCCGGGGAGACCACGGGGAGGGTGACCTGTTAGGGTATATTATTAGCAATGGAACTGATAATCCGCATTACTAACAATCCCTTCTCCCCCAATTTTACTTAACTTGCGAATTTAACTTACTACTTTTGAGTTTTCTAAATTCTAATCTTAAACTTTAATCCTAAACGCTAATCCTAAACTCTAATCCTAAACTTTAATCCTAAACTCTAATCCAAAACTCTACTCCTAAACTCTAATTCCAAACTCTAATTTCAAACTATAACCCTAAACTCTAAATTCAAAATTGAGGAGAGGGATTTTTAGTATTGCATATCGTAAAGTTCCACGGAAAAGTATAAAAACGCCCATTAGAAATGAAATAATTAAATTTTCATCTCATTAATTGTTCATGTGAAGTTTATAAAGTACTTTGTGAAAATTCGTGTTTTCAGTGAAAACGTCATAAATATAAATGTTACATATCAAAACTCTTACAGTTACGTTATCGTATAATTTCATAGTACAAATTATTTTAATGTTTTTACCCTTCATATGAAGGGTAGGGGTAAGGAGAACTGCCTCATATGGAGAAATAGGAGTAATTATAATTTATTAATTTAGCAGTTGGTAATGCAGTGAAGTATGCCAAGTTGAAAAATGTTGTATACATGTGTGTGTGTATGTGTATGCGTTTACTATTTAATGCATAATTAAAAGTGTAATAGTATTATTTAAAATAACATTAATTACAAATCACTGTTCTTTTTTATTTTAGGTTTTTCTTGTCAAAAGTGCACTGCTAAGAAGCGGAAGTTTTGCTTTCCTTGTTTATTTCTATGACAATTTATTTACCTGCTACTGCAGTTCCATTCTAATTTAATGCCGTTTCAACCAACTTCAAAACGAAGAAAGTTCTTAATAGTTCTATTTTTTTATGTTTGTTACCATTTAACTCTAGCTGTTGTAGGGGGAATTCTTTTATCGGAAAGGAAATAAATACAGATTGGGCTTGTAGGAATTTTATCAAAATCAGTTTAATAGTTACTTTTTAAATTAAAACAACTGGTTTTGCCACAATTTAAATTTTTTTTGTGGAACTAATCTTATTTATGACAAACATTTTTACACAGAGATGGTTCTCCTTATCTCTACCTAAGCCTCTACCCTAAATACTTCATACATTCATAAACCGAGAATTTATCCTTAATCTATGGTAGAAAACTAGCCAAATCTGTTTATCAATCGTTTTTATTACATACCTATCCATCAATAATGAACTTTGGATTTATGGCCATGGTGCAATATGCATACATGCATATGCTGCAAAGAATTTAAAAGAAGTAAACAGATTTAGAATAGTACTTGTGGTGTAGTAAATAAGTAATAAATAATATACACGAAGGAATATTACCGTAATGTCAATAAATATAATTTTTGTTTAGTATTTATTTGTAAATGTAAATAGTTGAATAAATTGGATTAAGATATTTTCTGCTTATTCGAATATAATGTCTAATATTTATTTAGTAATTTTTTTAACAACACTCTTCTATTGAAATATTTATCGAAACATAATTTTATTTTTTAAATAGTGTGAAAATAATTTGACATTGGTACACAAGTGCGCCAACGGAGTATCTCTTATCAGTGAGTGATGATAGGTGGGAATGAAATCGAGTCAGTTGGTTGACCCACTGACATCGTGACAAAGACGTCGATTCTGGGACGCCATTTCTCTAAACCTATCTTAATCTAAGTTTAATATGAATGTTTTTCGAAATGATTGTTTTATTGACCATCATAGAGTAAATTATAAATAATTTTCGCTTAAATTTATAAGATATTTAATCCATATCGGTCTTTAGAATAAATATTTTACTAAATGTGATAAATATATATTTATTTAAAATTAAAATTTATTTTTAGAGGTAGGTTCAGAGATTCTACTTTATAAAATTGATCCTAATTTTATAACAAAATAATCATAATGGTTTTCGCATGGAGGTCAATCTTGCGAGCACTGAGTATATTCCTAGCAATCTGGCCATTCCATTGAATTTGTTTTTTTTTTTATTTATATTTTTTTATTTTAGTACGACATTTAACGACGCCATTCTAAGCGAACGCATTTATAATGTGGTTTATGAATACAATCACCCGAATTTTTTTAATGGAATGATAACTCCGCCTGCACTAACAGTATACGCTGACGGGGCTCCAGTGACGGATAATAGATAAGAATGAAAAGGCAACCATGATGGTTTCCAGGGAGGACCACGTGGAGGTCGACCTGATAGGGTATATTGCTAGTAATGGACTGGTAGTCCGTAATACTAACAATCCTTCCCCCCTACTCTAAAAGGTTGACCGTACCATGCAGTTCGCTAAGTGTTTATTCACGTTACTTTTGAAGGAACCGAGGTTACAGGATGATGAAAACGTTATTAGAAAGGCCATCCCACAATGTTACGATACGGTTTGCGTAAGAGTTGGCAAACTTGTTGGCGAGCGAGAGCGGTTTAACGTGTTAGAATGTAGCCGCTGTTCCATCCTCATTGTGCAATAATTTTTTTTAATGGATGGAAATGAAATGGTAACTCCTCTTACGTTGGTGGAGCACCAGTAAGGAATGACAGGTGAAGATTTAAAGCAGGTCATTTAGCCCATCACGACGAATTCCACAGGAATGGTTTCCAGGGAGAACCGCATGGAGGTCGACCTGATGGATGGGGCCGTTGTGCGATATCGGTAAAAAGAAAGTGGAATAAGGGAATAAAATTCTTCTAACACTCCCAATGGAATAAATGGCAAAAGACATTGAGAAAGGCTACACTCTACTTAATTATTACTAATAATCCCTCCCTCCGTTATTGATTATTGAGATCATCGTTTTTTCAAGTTGGTTATAGAGATGGGTAACATTCTAAAAAGAACTTACTATTCCTGCTCAATCGTATCCGTAGCTCCGTTTATCTAGTGCATTTAACCCTACGTGAGTATCTATCTATCATAGGCGAAACAGTATACTCTATTATGTCCACGGTACTGCTCATGTCTATAAGCGACGGTTACCATTTTCCATCAGGTGGGCAGTCAGCTTGTTTGCTATTCTAAGTAGTATAAAAAAATTGTACTATAGGTATAATATTATTTTCAAGAATTGTCCATTTATTTTGAAATAATAGAGTAATATTTACGAGTTAGGACCGTATAGAATAGATAAATACGTTGTGCGTACGAACATGCGTGCGTGTGTAAGTGCGATTAAAACATATCAGCATAATGAATGCTATTTCTATTCTGAACTATAATTAAGTTTTAATTTTTATCTAGTTTTAATTTATCTTTAGGTATATAATATATAGTTATTTAGTAGAAAAAGAATTATAAATTTTTTAAAAAATATTTATTCTAAATCTAAGGTTTAAGGGATTTGACATTTATGACTTTGACACTGACATTTTAGATTGTATACCGTGTCTGATAACGAGCAGGCTTGATTGAAAGGTTACCAATTTCTAACCTAGAAGCTAGAACTAATAATAATACAAAAATATAAAACACTGTCTCTCCAGTTTTTGTTTTGGTGTAATCTTAAAGTATATTTTTCATTTTTATTAGAAATTTATAGATAAACAGAAAAAATGGCTGAACAAGTAAATCAACGCATTGAAGATATGATAAATGAACTAGAGCAAATGCGGCGGACTAACTTATTTGATGATGAAGAAATAAGGTAAAACAAATTCGAGTCTACTTTATTTTAAAGATATATTTTAACGTTTATGTTTGCGATTGCCTTAGTTCTACTTAAAGTGCATAGTAGTTGACCATGATCTCTGTATGTAATACCTTATAATAGGTACTGGCACTTCCTTTTTTATCGAGGTATTGAAAATAATGCCTGATCCATCTCTTAATTATAGATTACATAATATAACGCTTATATAATAATAAACTCAACATACTTGTAAACTTTATATCTTATGTATATTAGATTTATTTATTTAATGTATATATACTGAAAGAAAACTTCTTTTAAACAGAGAAATATCCCGAAAACGCAAGGAGTTTGAATATAGAATTCAGAGGCGAGTCAAATCTAAGGAAGATTTTATAAATTATATTGCTTATGAACTGCTTTTACTGGAAAACATTTCACTTCGAAGAAAACAAAATAAAATGAATGAGAAGAAAAATGATATAGAGTATGCTATAGCCAGACGCATGAATAAAGTTTTTAAACAGTTTATATACAGATTCCAGAATGATATTGAGATATATTTTGAATATATGAAGTTTTGTAGAAGTGTTGGTTTTGATCATGCTATATCTGGTATTATTGGACAGATGCTTCAGGTAAGAAAAACCTTAAAAATGGGTAAACATTTATCAGAAATAGATAAATGCTATATTATATTTTAAGAACTTGTTCCATAATTTTAAATGAATTTCTTATTTTTATTAGAATAGAAAAATTGTATATTTAAAAAGTAACAAACTTATTATGGAACCAATGTGGTTATTATTGATTGATTTGCAAATGGAATAATTAAATTCAGTACCAAATCAGTAAACATATAGTAATAATGGACATAAAATTATATGTTGTATAATTTTTTTATTTTGTAATAATTCACATTTGCAATTCAGTATATATTATAGTTAACCACTTGATGTGAAGGTTTTTCTGTGAAATGAGGCCAACTGGCGCATTGGTACACACACTAATTTTGAACGAGCATACAATAAATATACACTAAGCTTTATGAAATACAAATGGGCGAGAAGATATCGCTCCAGATAAAAATATAAACATAATGTTTATAAGTGGCAAGAGGTATTTAAGATAGCACAAATCGGAACAGATTTGATGCGCGAGAGGGTCTCATTCGAGATGCTTTGTGGTTAAACAATATTTCATTGTAATAGTGCTCTGTACCATTTTATTTTTTATCATTCTCAAAATAATATTAATAGTAGTAAAAAAGTATGAAACTGTTTTAAAATATGTTAAAAATGTAATTGCATTTAACTAGTGAAATTATTAATTTCAGATTCATGGAGATAAGCCAAAAATGTGGCTACTAGCCAGCAAATGGGAAAGACTGGAGCAAAACAATTTGAAAGCAGCTAAGCAGTTCCTGCTTAAGGGCATACACAGACACCCTGAATCTCAAGTACTTTACTTGGAACTTTTTGAAATAGAACTTACACTATTATACCAAGCGGAGACAGATGAAGACAAGGTAATTTTGAGTTAATATATATTTTTATTAATTAAAGTAATAGATAATAGAACAGGAAAAATACTAGTCCACCTTATACAACATGATACAATACAATACAAATAAAAAAAAATATATTAAATAGATCTGGTCCTATAGATGTGAATTTATAGCTATTAAAATTTAATGCAGAAATCTTGGTTTACAATCTAAATCTTTATTCACTGGAGTGTAGCTAAAATATAAGGTCTAGATTATTAAATAATTTGTTATTTCAGGAAAAGCAAATCAAAATAGCAGATGTGGTGTGGAGAAATGGTATCAAGAACATTAACAATGTGACATTTCTGTTTGACCTTTGTAATTTATGTCTTAAATGTGAAACAGACAAATTCTTAACTGATAATATTAAGAAAGAGATATGGTCAAGACTTGATCAGAAAGAAGTTTGGTCATATATTGCATCTAAAGAATTGGAAGTAAGAATTTTAAATTGAAATGTTTGATACATTAGGTGTTTATTCTGTATGTTATTTATTTTTAGTACACAATTTCTATTTTTATTATCAGGGTTGTCACTGGGAGGAATGTGAAGAGTTTTTAAATTCAGAACATGATTACTCTCAAGAAATTAACATTTTCATGGGACTGTATGAAGAGGCTTTGCAGCGGGTAACAATTATTATAATATATATATATATATAATAGAATTTAATATTAACCCTCTGATTGTGTATTTTTTTTTCACAACAATAAAACACATTGTTTTGACAACAAATAGCAGTACAAGTATTTAGCGATGGCACTAGATGCTAGTGGGATTGTGAGAAATAATATCAGTTTACCAAAACCATAATCTTAGGATAATATCAATAAACATAAAAAATGTGGGCATGTTGAAATCGCGGGATGCCCGGTCAGAGGGTTAATATACATGTTGCAATATTTCAAAATATATAAATTTTGGCTAATTCAGTAGAAATGTACTATATATTATTTGTTAAAAATCAAATTAAGAATATTTTAATTCTTCCATTAAATTCAGGAATGCAAGTGTTGTGTTGCAAGGAATCAGTGTAATTTAGTATATCAGAATCAATTTATGTATCAGTCTATGTTCTGTAGTTTTAAAAAATCAAATATTTTAAACAAAAATAAAATCTTCAACATTTCAACTAATTATTGTCCAGAAAAGATACTAAGACTTACATATATAATGTAATATGTTATTACCATTATTAATATTAGTTCCCAGATGAGAAGTTGTGCACGAAATACATTCATGAGCTGCTTGGTGTACAAGAAAGAATTTGCAGTGATTACCAGAAAATTAGAGCAGTAAAACAAGCATGGCTATTTGCACATGATAATGGACTACTAACAAATGATTTATATGCATTTGGAATTTCGATGTTGAAATTAGAAAATGAAATTTCCAATAGTGATCTAATGGAGGTAATTTCTTTATATTTAAGTTTATTATTAGGAATACATTTTATGTGGTACTTATAACAACACAGTCACATGGACTATTGTTTCACATAAGTTTCACCAAATGTATTATTAATTATTAAAGGTTTATCTGATTTCTTTTAAAGCACATACAATTTATATTGTAATATTTCCTAAATTTGTTTGATTAAAAGTTAAATCTAGAATAACTTTATGCATTGCATTATTATCTAATAATTCTGAATTTTTCTTTTTCAAAAAGAATATACAAATTAGTTTCATGGTTTAATAGTTTTTAAATAAAAATTATTGTTTTTGCCACAGTTAAAGATTTTTTGTAGAACACAATTTTTATTTTATACACAAGTATTTTTTTTATTAGATTAACTGTAAAGAGATAAACATTGTAAATAAACATGTAGGTACTTATCTGTTTTTTTTTGCAAACTCATGCTTATTGTCTTATCTCTATAAGCAGTCATAACTATGTTTTTACAGTGATTTATCAAAATAAATATACATATATTTGTAGGTTATTTGATGAAAAAAAGTAATCATTTGTATTTTCACGATATTGCTCCATAAATGTAATACTTGTATTATAGGCCATTATTTTTTTATAGATTTTAAATAATGCAGCAAAGAAAAATCCACAAGCTAGATGCATATGGGAAGAAAAACTTCTCTTGAATAACTCGGATGAAAAGAAAATGTTGTCAATAGCACAAGAAGCAAGTAAAGTATTAAAATCTGATGATGCACTGTATATTTGGAATCTTCTATTAGATAATGTAAAATCAAATGATATGGTAAGTGTCAAGGGTAATCTGTTGTGTACTGTTCTCTAATTTAATTGAACATACTCATTAAAAAAAAATACTATAAATTTTAACTATTTTTACTAACAAATAATAAATTGAAAGTATTTTTTTTTATTTTCAGCTTAAGAATTTACATAAAAGGTTTCAAAACTGTGAAAATATTGTAATATTGACTATAAAACCAAAACTACTTCAGAAAATGTATGATTATATTGGTTTGAAAGCTGCAAGAGATCTATATGAAGAATTTATTAAAACTCCCCCATTACAAGTTGAAGTACATAAGGTTATGATTGATATAGAAAAAACACAAGATAAACCAAACTCTAAGAATATTAGAAAATGTTATGAAATGTTAATTCAACTTCATGGCACAGATAATTTTGACCTGTGGATGGAATATATGAAGTTTGAAACTGATTCAGGAAATGTTCAGGCAGTTCCCAATATTTATAGAAGAGCCATTGGATCACTTAAGAAAGAATTAGCGGATGAATTTATTAAAGCGCAAACTTTAGCAAAATTAAATTAATACATATTCATAATTGTTTATTTTATAAATAATAATACTACTGACAAATAAAATAATTTTATTTAAATATAACCACACCTTGAATCAACAATCTAGCAAAACAAGAATCCACATAGTACACCATTTATACTATAATTATTTACATTCATTTTACATAATATTTAACTCTCTACAAGAGATTGACACTACTTTGGTGGTTGTGGAATATCACTTAGCAAATAAATCCAAACAGATAAATGCATTAATATTAGTCTCAGGGTAACTACTGCATAGCTGCAATTGGAGCTATGTAGTACCTAAAGATTAGAGAGGAACCACGTTTATGTTGTTTGTTTCTCAGTAAATCTCTCCAACATGCTTGCCAAGATGGATATTTGGGCATAGCAGGAGGGTTGCCAGCCTTGAGACTTGAGCCAGCAACTGCCATACAAGTAGATACCACAACTAGTGGATAAGTGATAGTGCTGGTAACAAATGTTAGTAATGGGACCGTATAATATCTAAGGTCTTTGGTCTTAACCAAATATTTGTTTACATAGTAAGCCAACACACCTGTGACAGCTACACATGTCAAGTCACCAAGCATTTTAGGAATAATTCCATGGAAAAACCCACGTATTCCATCGTCTCTGTAAATAGATACGATGGCGCCGATCAATGTGCTATATTCTTCCTCTTTACCCACAAATGAAGCCATCATTCTCAGTGCAACTACATGGAATGGGTATGACACGATGACTGAAGCCGTATGCATTATCATGTCTCGTCGGCCGAGCTTGATGTAATCCTCTACTTTAGGTTCCTCATCGGTGACGATGTTTGGTGGGTCATTGATTTCAGGCAGGTTGATGCCACAAACATAAATCACTTTTGACGTGAGTTGACTGGTCGCTATCAACCCCAGCACACGGGCGGAGAGTCCTCTATAGCATCCAAAAAATCCATCTGAAGCCTTGATATACTTTATGTATTGGAAAACGTTAGGTAATACCATGGCAGGGCGGCCGAAGAGTGTTGTTGACCGGCGAGGAGGTAATGGTTCGTAGCCCAATTGAATGAGAACTTTCGCATATTCCATTGGGTGGCATATTGTCGTGACTAGTAGTTGAGATGGCAATGCAGCTATTTTCTCTTTTTCGATTTCGTCCATACTTTGACAATTTGTCCACGACAGACGACCTTCTGAAATCAAAAATGACTGTAAACCATAGATAAGATAGCATTGACCCATAACTTTCATAGAGCGACTGTCAAAAATCAGGAGACAACAAAACATAGATAATGATATTTTCTTTTTTTCTGTGTTAAAAATAGTACAATTATCAAAAATATAATTTAAAAAATTGCACCGCTGAACTATTTCTTAAATATTTTTAATAATTATTATGATTATTAGAAACATTTAAGAATTAGTTCATACATATTATATTTATAGTTTTACTGAAATTAATCCGTAGAAATGCGTAGTGATACAAAACGATATAGACCATAGGGAAATATTGGTTTAATTCAACTAAAAATAACGATACATTGGTATTATTACAGACAATAGTAGTTAGAAAAGGAATGTCACAATCTTAAGTCAATAATAGAAAAACAAACCAGTATTTGTAAAGAGTTTCGTATACTACATTCACCCATCCTTTTTTAAAAAACCTAAGTTATTATAATTCATAATCCCCTAAATAAGCGGGTGGTCTTCTTTCACGAATAAGCCGCTGAGACGAATCGACCACCATTGAAGGCCCAGTGCCATCAGCATTCAAATTGTCGGTTTCAGTCGTGGTGTTGTAGCTCTCGGTATCTGTATCGGTTCGAGATCGATCGGAGTTCTCAATTTCGTCAGTGTTAGCTATATCTCCAACTAATCTATTAATTGGGGCAAGATGTCTATTAGATACAGTATCCTCTCGTCCATCAGCAAAACGTACTAAAGAATAATTTGGGTTGGATTCTAGCAATTCGACTTCTTCTACTAGAGGATCATATTTACTTTTTCTTACGTTTTTCTTCAAAAGTATTGGGCCAGGAATCATTAACCACGAAGGTAAAGAAATTCCATTACCAGATCGTCTGGGAAAACATAACAACTTATCATGTGGAGTTGCATTCGTAGCAGTACATAACAAAGAGCGTATGGAATGTAATGCTAGAGGTAGTACCTGTTCCCAATATCGTATGTCAAGGTTCTTGGATCTTAAAGATAATTGGATGGTTCTCCACAATGTCCCATTCAATCGCTCAACTTGACCATTTCCTTCCGGATTGTAAGGTGTAGTTCGACTACAAGCAATATTATTTCTTAGTAGGAAATCTTTAAATTCTTGTGACATAAATCCAGCACCACGATCTGAATGAATATATAGAGGCGTTCCAAAAGTAAAGAAGAGGTCCTTTAAACACGTTATGACAGTTCCTGATGATACATCTTTACACGGGTAAGCAAATGGAAAACGAGAAAATTCATCAACAATAGTTAATATATATTTATTTTCAGTATTCGAAGGTAACGGCCCTTTAAAGTCTAAACTGAGTCTTTCAAATGGAGAAGTAGCTTTGATAGTCGTCCTTTGCTATTTGCAAATCTAGGTTTTATCTCGGCACAAATAGGACAACTCGCAGTCATGTCTTTAATCTCTACAAGAGAATAGGGCAAATTTTTAGAACGCACCCAATGAGCCATTCTTGTGATTCCTGGATGGCATAGAGTATTGTGCAGTTGATATAAATTTTTACGTGAAAATGTACTAGCACAAACTCTTGATAATGCATCTGATACTATATTTTGTCTACCAGGTCGATAGACAATATCAAATTTAAAACAAGACAGTTCCAGTCTCCATCTCTCTATTTTTTCATTCTTAATTTTACTTGTATGCTTCTGATTGAACATAAAAGAGACAGATTGTTGATCAGTTATTAAAAGAAAATGTTTTCCAATTAAATGATGACGCCATTTACGTAGACTTTCAACAATCGCTGATGCTTCCTTCTCTATTGACGAATGGTTTCTTTCAGAATCTGTTAAGGATCGGGAAAAAAATGCTACAGGGCGTCCATTTTGCGAAAGCGTTGCTGCCAAAGCATGATCAGAAGCATCTGTTTCGACAGTGAACATTTGTGTGTCGTCAATTGCTACCAAAGCTGCATTTGCAATATCTTTCTTGATACTTTCAAATGATTCGCTTGCCTCATGTGATAAAGGAAATGAGTTATTCGTTATTAAAGGACTTATTTTCTCTGAATAATTGTTTATCCATCTAGAAAAATGTGCAAACATACCTAATATTTTCTTCAAGGAAGTTAAGTCTGTAGGTGCAGGCATAGAAAGTAATGGTTTAAGACGCTCTTTATCAGGCTTTACAGTGTTATTCTCTATAGTATAACCCAATAAGTTAATAGACTCAGAGCCAAACTTGCATTTATCTTTATTTAAAGTAATTTTATATTTTTCTACTGTTGTCATAAATTTGGCTAAGTTAGCATCATGGGTAAGTTTATCCTTTCCACAAACAGTGACATCGTCTAAGTAAGCATAAGTATCTGTAAGATTTTCATTATCAATAATATATTGCATCGTTCTTTGGAATGCTGATACGCCATTTGTAACTCCAAAAGGTATACGTGTAAATTGATATAATTTACCACATGCTTCAAATGCTGTATAAGGTCTTTCCTTTTGCAGAATCGGCACTTGATGGTAAGCACTTTTAAGGTCTATTTGGCTAAAATATTTATTCTGAGCAATTTTAGATACAAGAAATTCAATGTTCGGCAATGGATACGCATCAAGTTCTGTAAATTTGTTTATCGTTCGTGAATAGTCAATAACAAGACGTTTTCGATGCGTACCGCCACCAGTTACTAGGACTTGTGCTCGCCAAGATGACATACTTGGCTCTATAATTCCATCTTTTAATAGCTTTTGAATTTCTTCAGAAATGAATTTTTGGTCATCATCATTATAGCGCCTTGATTTTATTGCCACAGGTTTGATATTAGGCGACAAATTTGAAAATAGAGTTGCGTTAGGTAAATTTGCAGCCATAACATTGCATATCTTCAAAGAATCTCTGGGACCTCCGAACTGGAGTTCTAAAGAATGGTGATTTTTAAGCAAATCATGACCTAAAATAATGTCAGTGCATAAGTTACGTATAACTAGTAACTTGGCATTGCTGTAAGAGTGATTATATAATTGTATAGTAGCATTACAGTAACAGGTGACTGGAGATGTATGATTAAGTGAAGCTAAAGTAATAATTTGCTGACAAGGTTTCTGTCTCAATTTCAAGAGTTGCGCCAATTCTTCATTTATGAAACTTATCGAGCTTCCGGTATCGATAAGAGCTTCGGCACGATAATTATTAATAATAACGGGTACAGTTGCCTTATGTAGACTTGGTAAAGAAGCTGCTGATATAGCAGCAACCTCCACAGAATAATTAGTATCATTTTCGTTTGTTACAGCAGCATTCATAGTTTGTTTACTTCGGCAAACATTAGCAAAATGTCCCTTTTTAGAACAAATCTGACAAGTACTATTCAAAGCTGGACATTTTATTCGCTGATGAATTACATTACTGCCACAGAAGAAACATCTTCTTTTATTTGAAGCAGCAGCTAAAGTAGACTCAGCCAAATTATCTCGTACAGTAGATACATCGTTGTTGTTCAGGGAACATACTTGAGTTTTCTTTTGTGAATTAGATGAAATAACGGCATCAGCAGAATTAAGGGGCAAAGAATTACCATTGTAAGCTAGGGAATTAATTTCTGCCATCTCGAGTGAAATTGCTTGATTGAAAGCTTGATCAAGTGAGAGTTCAAAATTTTCTAATAAACGTTGGCGAATTTTTTGTGAGGAAATACCAGCAATAAATGCATCTCTAATATATTCAGATCGATATTGTTCAGCTTTAACATCTTTGAAGTAGCATTTTTGAGCAAGAAGCTTAAGTTGGCGCAAGTATTGATCTATAGATTCATCACTGCGCTGCTTTCGAGTGCCAAGGATATGACGTGCATGTATTTCATTTTTTTGTTTAATGTAAGTATTATTTAAAATTGAAATAGCTGACTCATAATCATTACATTCTTTTATGTACACATAAACGCTGGGAGATAAGTGATTAATCAAGATTTTTAATTTATGCTCCTCCGTAAACTCACCAATACTTTCTGACAAAAAATTATCGAATGTATATATCCAATGTGTCCATTCTAAATCAGCATCGGTAGAGCTTGGATCTAATTCAAATCTTTCCGGCCGTAGGTAACGCGACAAACTTGTTGAAGCCGGCCCTGGAGTTGACGATATCATCTCGGATTCAAATTTCTTGTTACGGTTTTTTCTTGACATAATTAGTTGTATTTTATTAGTTGAATTAATTGATACAAAACGATATAGACCATAGGGAAATATTGGTTTAATTCAACTAAAAATAACGATACATTGGTATTATTACAGACAATAGTAGTTAGAAAAGGAATGTCACAATCTTAAGTCAATAATAGAAAAACAAACCAGTATTTGTAAAGAGTTTCGTATACTACACGTAGAAACCGTAAATTATTTTGTATTATATTGTACGGTGCAGCTTGACCCGTACGGTGAGTGTGGACTGTAGGGTGCTGGATCAGGCTGGAGCGAAACGATTGTATTCCTTTCTTGAAGCTCCCGGTTCCGTTCTGAAGAGTTTCTCCTAGTTCCTTTATCGGATTGGGAGTGCATGCCGCTCGACGGTAGGCGGCCTATCTTTATACCTGCCCGGTCACACGATATCGTCTACTAACTCACATCGGTGAGTCTGTGCGAGCGGGACGGGGCGAGTGTGAGAGGGACGCGTGACCCTTCAGAGCGGTACCATTTGGCGTCTATTTATTTATAATTTCCAATATTACTATCATTTTACAATTTTTTCCTTATTTCTATTTGTGGGTAATGAGGACTCGATACAAAAATATGCTTTATTCCACTTACAAGCTATAGATACATCATATAAAGTCTATATAAAATTAACAATTTAAATGATTAAAAACTAACGACTTATGCTAACAAAGATAACTATAAAATATCGCTATAAACTATACATTTTTATATAAAGAAATTATAATGTCGCGAACATATATAGATGGAGGATAGAGTATCAAAAATCAGTAAACAGAAATCAGACTTGATGTGTTTTAAACAGTGTTCTGTACAAGAAAGGATTGCCTTGCTAGCGTATATCGTTAGCGCAGTTAACCAATTTCATTATCATAAATTAAAAAAAAAGTGTTATGCTTCTGTACCTTGTAATTTTACTGTTGTATCATATCCTTCAAACCGATACATAATTATACAAATACTACTGCTTCTCGGCAGGAATACTAACTTATAAAAGAGACAGAGATATCCAAACTATGATTTTTGTATAGTCTTTCTGTGGTACATATAGTTGATCTGTTTTTGGCGAAGCATTTCTGTGGAGACTATCTATATAAACTAAGATAGAAATTAAGGGGAATTCTGTTTGGTACTATTTTTAATGTACGAGTATGCTATAATAAAACGCTTGGTGTAAAGAGTTTTAGTTCTTTATGTTGTGGTATTATTCTCTTATAAAAGTTCTTTGTTTTGTTTGGTAAATTACCTAAGCAGAGGTAGATTAAATGTTGAGAGAGCCTTATACAAGCACCACATCGTCGCCTCTAGTGATTCATATACATTTTAACTAATACTAGTAGTAGGGGGAAAAGGGATGTTAGTAATGCAGACTGAGAATCCCATTGCTAGCAATATATCTAACCAGGTCGACCTCCTCGCTGTTCCTCCTGGAAACTGTCATCGTTAATTTCTGATTAATTCATTATGATGCGCTATCTGGCCTGTTTTCATTCTTATCTATCACTTTTCACTGGTACTCTGTCAGCGTATCCCGTTAGCGCAGGCGGGGTTACCATTCCATTTTTACCCATCAAAAAAATACTAGTAGTAGTAAACATTATTGAGGTTATGAATCATTTATTTAAATATTGGTACTAAAACTTATTTGGTACTTATATTCATTTACAGTTGGTGAAAATAATAAAATTAGAAGTTTCTGTGTCTACATTATTGTCTTGCGAAATTGTCAATAACATCATTAAAGACAGCAGTAATGTTAAGAATTGCTAATGGATTTCATTTTTTATCTGTTATGGTTAAGCGAAGATAATTTTTAATTTTCTTTAGACAGGAAAATCTCCGCTCACTATTACAATTGCGGACTGCCGTTGATACGCACATTCTTAAGGCTATGCCTATGTTTGGGTAAATTTTATAAATATCTATTATATTATGTAAATAGATACATAGGTATTGTACTTACTGACACAATAAATTAATTGTTATTTCAATTAATTCCACGCGCTCCTAGGTACGTGTCTAGTTTGTTTTAGGGATAATCCGCCTCTGTCTATAGGTAAACAGCCTGGTTTATTGTTAATATTGGCATCCCTTGACATTAAGAAACAGAAGAAAAGGTAGAAATCTACAGAAACAAATCACATGATTTACTGAATTTTTTACATTAGCACAGAATTAATTTTTACGTTAATAGGAATAACACCTGAGTTCTCAGGAATGGGGGGTATCATGGGCGAAACAGTATGTATGTGTAGTGTTGTCTATGGTATTGCTCATGTCTATAGGCGACGGTTACCACTTTCCATCAGGTGGGTCGTCAGCTTGTTTGCCATTCTAAGTCGTATAAAAAAAATATTCCTCCAACTCAAAAATATTTTAAGTGGTTTTCAAATCTGGTCAATATCCGATACAAACCATAGATTTCTAAAGGTAAAAACCTACTACCTAAATTTGGGGGTGAGGAGATTATTACATGTAACGGCTCCATTCTTTAGCAGTAAAGTCGACATTGACGCGATCCATCCTGGATACCATCTTGTTAATGTAGTCAATTCGTCAAGAATGAGCTATTTGATTTGATAAATCACCAGACAACCCACCTTATTAAAAGCAGTAATTTTGCTTACAGACCATGGTAACCTATGGTAGGCTTGTGTACCTTGTAATTTCACTGCAATTCATATTCCACCCTTCAAACTGAAACATAGCCATTAAAGCACGGTTGCTTCACAGTAGAGATATGGGTGGGACAGAGTTACTCATGCAGACAGGTTTTTGTACAATCTTCCTCTGATGTGGTTTCCAGAGGAAACCATCGTGATTAGTTCTTCATGTGGTATCTATATATGACTTGCATGGATATATTACATACTAAGTACAGGTATTAAAAAGAAATAAATGAAAAGGTTTATTCTAAAACGATGATAAAATAATTCATTTTTATTAAATATACAAACTATTAATATTCTATGCACTTAATGTCAGTAGTTCATTAGATCCATCTTCGTCTATCTTATAAGGTAATGGAGTTATCAGTGACGGTGGCCCTTTATGGTCTTTAGTGTTTCGACTGATATCCTGAAATTAGGAAGTTTGAGATCTAAGCTTTTACAATAGATTATGGAACCAGAGAATGGACGAAGATACTAAATTAAGGTAAGGAGAAGATTGAGTGACGATTTCGACACTTTTTTTAACTTGTAGTCTTTGCATTGCAATGCTATGTTAATAGTCATTGGAGTTAATTCTGTAGCTTTATTCTCTAAAAATTTCAATTTTATATCACAGATTAATAAATCTGAGAACAGATATGTGAAATTTCATAGTTTTAATGAAATATCAACTTAAAATTGATTAAAAAGGGTTTAAGTGACCCACTTCCTAGACAGGTTGCAAATGAATCTATTTACAGAATCGTTATTGCTGCCAAAAGTTTAGATAGAATAATGAAAAGGTATGTTCTTTCTTACCTCAGCATGATTTTAGACTAACAAAATTTTTTAATAATTAAAACTAACTTTTCGGTATGGAGGTTCTTAGAATAATACTTTTACTTAATCGAAGTCTCAATTTTAGAGGTTGGTTTAGAGAATGGTGTTTTAGAATCAAATAAATGGATTCAAAAGAAGAAGATGGATGAGGGTTCAACCTGTATGGGAATTAGTTCGGTCTCCTGTTCAGGATCCGGTTCTTCATCTTTGGTGTCATCTTCTGTTGCTGAATCGTCTTCGCTAACTTCTTCCTGTATAGCGTCAGTTATGTCTTCTTGAGATTCCTCATCTTCTAGACTTTCGTCTTTTTCTTCAAGTGTTTCAAAAGCCCTTTCTTTATCTACAATGTCTGTCATAGGTAATTATTTTAGTTATAAAGGTATTTTACTGCCTAATGATTTACTAAACAAAAAATATACATAATTATAAAATGCTCAGCACCTTTATAATGTTCGAATTAGAAGGATTAAAAATTGGAAATATTTAAATTATTATAAACTTACTTTTATGCTTTAGCTAGTACAAAATATAATTAGGTATTTATGTATTAAAAGATTTGTCACTCTTTATTATTATAGAAAGGTATATTAAAAAAATATTAAAAATACAAGCTACTAATAATTAAATTACATGAAAATAAATTAGGCTGGCTTATTGTAGGTACTTTACCTTTGAATCTTAGAGAGCCTCGTCTTATAGGGAGTTTATTTTCATTCACCATTTCTACCAAAACTGTAGGTATTTCGATAGTGACTCCATTGACTTTTTTATCACCTTCTTTACCATTTTCGTCATCTTCTTTGCTTAGCTGCAAGAAAAAAAAACTTAGTTTAATTAGGTCAATATTATTAATTAGAATTCTAATAAAGGTTTATAAATACTTGATTCTTATACTTTTGATAAGCTCTACCTGCAAAAATGAAACTGCTGGCTCTTGCAATTTTGTAGCCTTCTCTTTACTTCTCATTATGTTTTCATCTGTTTCCTTTTCTAAACGCAATTTATGAGCCTTGTGCGTTCGCCACATCTGATAAAATAGAGCATAAAAATTGCGAATTTTGTATTGAATCTGTTCTTTTATAAACATTGATAAGTTTTTTTTTATACAAAGACCGGTTAACATCATAGCAACCAAGTAATGTCCCATTGTTGCGTCTTTCTTTAAGAGTAGAGTATATAAACATGCGGGTTTATTTGGTTCATTCGATTAGCCTACTCTTGTACTGATGTATTTAATTTGAATTTCTAATACAATTATGAGTTGCATATAAAGTGGTGGCATATGATGGATATTGTTATTCTATTAAGTGAAGAATTAATTAAATTATGAATAAAAATATATTGAATTAAAAAGTATTAGTGAAGAAAATTTTTTAGCAATTTTAAAGTACACTGCACGTACGGAGGATTATGAGATTTGGCATAATTAAAGTTCATGCAGAGAAAGAGTGTAGAAAGATAAAGTTAATCTAATTGAATTATAATTGACTTCGATCATTAGATTATTAGTAATAATAATAACGGATTGAATAAACAATATAAATTTACGTGTGATCCAGTGTAACAAAGTCCCAGTATAAATATCACAATTAACGCTATAAAGAACTTGTCAGTGTTCTCTTCTTCAGCATCTGGCTGCTGGTATAGGGAGTCGTATGGTATTCTCGATGGAGGATCTTCTACCCAAGTCTTGTCCACACTCTGCAATTAATATAGAACTCTACATTAATTTAAATCATTTGGTGCATTTACGGTAAAGAAGTTCATAAGTTATTTCTTTAGTAGTGATCAATTAACGGCTGTATCATCATCATCACATATAAGGTAAGATAGGTAGGGTATCGTTAATTGATGACAATATGCTCTTATTTGACATAAACAGATTCTATTGCTATATCAAAGCATTATCAATGTACTAGTTATTAAGAGCGTTCATAACTTTCGCTTACCAAAGCGTGGCAACGTCACAATTATCTATCAGTTTCAAACACAATTTAACATTTTTCAATTTCAATGTTTCTGTTAGCGAACTAAAACGTTAATCGCAGAATACGTTATATAAATCTACTACAAAAATCTTGACATCTGTTTCGTATTTCGCTTTAAAAAAAATTAAAAACATTTTTGTCAACAGAAGAATAATATTATTTAGTTCGCTAGTAGACAACGTTCCATATACATACTTAAATTTAAGTGAATGTAGATTATCTATTAGACCAATTTTTTTTAATAATCAATCAAAAACATTAAAAGTTCTTCGTTTTTTTTTTCCAATTACATCAATGAGGTATATCTACTCTGTTAGTAGTTATGCACAAATATCTTACAATGAGAAAACTGCCGTTGTGCGTGGCTCCAAGCTGATCCCGCTCTGGCCAGGCTTCGTCGAAATCGGCAGAACATTGCGCACTACGAACACCTTGTGCGTTTACAGCATTCACTTTTTCGGAGTCAGATCGGGTGAAGAGCATGTACTCTTCTAAAGGTTTCATTATGTACTCATTTATTTCTACAAATATGTCTAAAAATAATAAGAATGTGAAAATATTTTAATAGAAACCAACGGAATAAGGGTAAGTTAAGAACTTAAACCATAAGTTATGAATAAAGTGAAGATGTAAGGTTAGAATTGTTGTATTTTAGTATGGCAGGTCAGACAGCCTTTAACGTAAGAGCTTACATCAGTTCTTAGAAGAAGCGACGCTGGAGTCTTAAATAAACGCATAAATAGGGCAACGTTTATAATATGAACAAGAGGTGACGCAATATTAAATATACTAAATAGAGCAACGTTTATAATATGAAGATGATTTGCAATATAAAAAAGATATACTTTCATTAGTAATTTAAGAAGCAAGACGTGGTAAATAACAAATAAATACAATCACTACGAGATGAGATCTCAAAAGAAATAAATAGTATTGTGTAGTATCATGTACTCACTAGAGAGGCAACCATTATATCCTTTATAAATTTTAAGTCTTGGGTCAGTGGTATTCAGACCACCAATTTGCACCTCATTAGAGCCCACGTCAAACACTTCCCACAGGCTTTGTGGTGGTAATTTCTCTAGAGGTATTTCTATTCGATCTATAATTAATGTTGCTTCATGACCTATTCTTGTATAGTAAACTGTATGACGAGCACCTGCAAAAATATTTTTATTTAAAACTTGTCTTTAGCGAATATGTAATTGTACTCCAAAATTCTACTTATTCAAATACAAGTCAGGGAAAGTAGAATTTCAGAGTAATTTAAAGAAAAATGGAACTATAGATAATAATTAAATGAATAGTATAATAGAAGAGACAATTATTGAATTAATTAATCTACAAATCTATATAACAAGTTTCTATAAAGTCAGTATAGGATAAAAATAATGGAAATTAGTTCAGAATTGTCAAAGAAATGGCATAATATAAAACATTGTGGATTTTGAAAGATCTTTACCTTTTTTGAAGCTGGCTATTATTAATTTACTGTATTTTAAACAAATCGAGTATAATCAATTTGTCAACTAAATCTGTAAATGGAATAAATTTGCACATTTTCAAGTACCACTACTTACCATTCAAAAAATTTCTGTTCTTAACTTCAGCGCCATATGCTGACTCTTCTCGATCTTCTTCAAATTTCAAATAACCGTCTTGTGTTATTGCTACTAGTAAATAATAGCTGCGTCTGAAAAATAATAATAAGAGATAATTTATATTTACTTACTCTTTAAGTATCGAAATATATAATATATAGTTACTTGTTCTCAGTCTGCACCAATAATAGAACTGTGTTCTTCTGACGAAGATCGTTGCTTGAAAATGCCAATTTTATTTTGACCTGAAAATATTGAGATTTGAATTAATTCGATATTTTATTCACCACATTTGTAAACAAAATTATTAGTTTTAATGTTGTGTAAAGTAAATTAAAAAGTACACATTAGTATTGTAGAAGAGACATTGGAATAAAACATTGTAAATTTCAACGACTCCTTACGAATATCAGATCAAAATTGTTTCAGTTTATAATTCATTTCAGGTTTATGCTTATAACCTCAGAACAAAACTATATTTACCTTAGTAATAGGTCCAGAGAGTATAAATTTGCGTTGCAATATGCTTTCTCCATTGAAGTCTGCACCTTTCTCTTCCATGCAGTATTCCCCAAAGTAGCTAGTGAGTTCACAGTCGCAGCTACTTTCTTGGTTGGTGAAGTCCTCAGTGCATATTCCGCCGTTCTTGCAAGGCTCGGAGTCACATTTCATATTGCATTCCGGTAAGACTCCTTCTAGTTCTGTGCATATTTGGTGATCAGAACACTAAAGATATAATATATTTATATGCATTTTTAATACTGGTTAATTGGTTATATAAATATTTAGATCAGGTCCGTTAATCTTTTGATATTATGTTGAGTAGTTAATAATAGCATATAATTACGTTTCTAAAAACATTTTGTTTTGGAACATTTATATAAATCCTCCTTCTCCTGATCAACATTATGTTTTTTTTTCTTTTTGTTGTTTTAATATTTATTTTCTTAGTAATGGTAATAAATGTCATCTATCTATCTATCTATCAAAATTCGTGATTCACACATTTGTGTAGGATCGTACTCAAGAACTTTTTTACATTTACTTACCATGGTCGATATCCTGTTGTACCTTCTTAGACAAGTCAACCACATGATCAGCTATTTTGAACCCTCTGACACAGCCCACATAACCTCCTTGCGGTAGAAGTTCAGCTCTCGGGGCTAAATGTAATGAATATGGATCGTAACCACCGAGATTCATTTGGAAGTAGTCGGTTGGAGGCGCTGGCGGCCTTTGTGGACGGATTACTTCTGCAATAGGATTATGAAAAAAGAAATTGCAATTATAAAATAAATAATGATGATGAATTTCAAGTTTCTATTTTTATTTATTTGTATGAGTATCCAGAGAAATTTAGTAGCTGACCAGATGTTCGTGATTTTTATTACGTAGAACCATATTAAGGTATACCGTTAAATTTTTTGACATAGTTCGGGATACGTTAGAATGTAAAAATTTTGTTAAATGTAGTCAAAATAGTTGATCATTTAAAATAATATTTTATAAAAGTTTATAAGAACTTAGGGCTATATTATTTGGTCTAAATTAAAATTATTACCTAATTCAGGATTAATCCAAGGTTTGTTTGTATAATTAGTTAACAATTTCGCTACTTTTGTTGTTGCAGCATTTTTGTTATTCACGTGCAGTGTTGTTGTATTTTCCGTTCTTATAATAGCGATTTGTACACTTTCACCTTTATTGATTTTTTCATTCGTCACATTCATTTGAATTATTTCGTCTTCATGGTTAAATAGATAAATTATTTGTGTCCCGTTATGTATAAATAAATGTATGAAATTATTCAAGTTATCGTTAGCGTATAGTACTAGAGAGTTTTGGTCATATGTTCGTAGGTTCATTAATACGTTCTCAGTCATCATTTTTTTCAGTCTATGTTTTTCTGCATCGGTTGCATTGTCTACTAAATAATTCTTTTTTACATATGACTCTTTTGTTTGGAATGTTAAAGCTTTTTTGTTTATATCTGTAATATATTAATTGTTCTGTTATAAAAAGAAATACAATTTAACATCTGAATATTAACAATATTATATATTAACATGTTATTGATGATATAGTAAGTTTTGACAAGTTACAGACGGTTATTTTAATGTGTAGGAAAATAATATCCAAATAATATACTGTAGGTACAAATATTTATTTTCAAAGAATCACTTACTTTCTTCACAATGTACTCCTAAATGTGCCCATGGATTCTTACATATGCATTCATAAGACGACCACAGTTCTTTGCAGGTAGCTTTGTTCTGACATGGGTTTGGTACGCAGGATGGCTTACAGTCTTTGATTATTTCAGATAAATGAACAGACATGTAACTATATATGTCTAGAACTTCACCATTTACAACCAGACCTCTAAAGCAACCGATTAAGCCTTGGTTGACGGCGGATTTTTTCAGATGTTCTCTGAAATTAAACGCACAGAAGTGAATATGTAGTTTCTTTAAAGAAAGATTATTAAGTATATACTGTGTATTAGTATTTAAATTTCCAAATAGTTTAATTAATCTATAATTAACTTTAAATCAAGTACCAAATTTACAAAAAAAAAAAAATAGTCTCTACTAATAAGGCACATCTATATATGAATTTAGTGTAGAGGCTTTACATTTTATATTATTTTACGACTAAGTAAAGATATTAACAATCTTATTCATAAAAAAAAAAAACAAACCTTCTATAACCGTATTTTAAGCATTAGAGTGTTTTCCAATTTAATTTCAAATTGCAAGTTGAAAGCAAAAGAATATTTTAAGAGAGTGTTCCACAGAAAAAACATGTCATTTACGGCAATAACAGTTATTTTGATTTGTAAACTACTAAATTTTGATAACATTTTTATGGGACCAATCTGTAAGTATATCCTTTTAGGTAAAAAAGGAATTTTCCAAATCAGTTTACTGCTGAAGAAGTTATGAGGTAACAAACATAAAACAATACAATCGAATTGAGAACCTTTCTGTTTTTGAAAATGGTTCAGAAGAGAAAACATTTCAAAAGTTAGAATAAGGTTATAAGACCTTTGATGCTTTTATGAATAAGGGGGCTAGTTTTGTTGGTAATATGCTCCCATAAAAAGATGCTAATGATTTCGATTTTAGCTTCTGTATTATTCACACTGTATATTGTAAGCATTACTCGTTTACTCACGCTGTAGCTCCACCGATGAACATAGATCCTTCAAACGGTCCGAACTCTTCTTCTAGCAATAAATTCAACATCTGATACTCCGTATTGAGCATAAATCTCACATGATAGAAGTTGTAGTCTATCCATATTTTGTGCCATTCACCACCGTTTAATTTTCTTTTGGAGTTTATTACTAATTTACGAGTGGTACCGGTGTTGAGTGTGAAATTGAAGGTGAGCTCGTGTTCTGTAATATGTTGTGCGTAATATTTCACAATTTAAATTTATTTTATATGAGACAATACTTTAGATACTTGTAATATCAGTTAGTAGTTCTCGCCTATAGATATGAACAGCATCGTTGACATCACAGAGTACGTTCAGCGCACACACAAAACGTCAAGGGTGGAGGGGAAAGGCATTGTCAGTAATGTAGACTACCCGTTTTATTGCTGGCAATATACTATGTTAGGTCGATCTCCACGTGATCCTCCTTGGAAACCATCGTGCTGAATTCCAAGTGTATTCACACGATAGGCTCTGTATTTTTATCCTTACCTATCATCCCTCACTGATGCCCCGCTAACGTATATCGTTAGCCCAGGCGGGGTTACCATTCCATTATCATCCATTAACAAAAATATCTCAAGCGCTGCCATTCCTTAAGATTATGGTGTTATGCCTTTATACCCTTTAATCTCACTCTCATATTATTTAAACCAAAACACAAGCATGTAAGCACGAGAGGACAGTTACGACGCACGAGAAAATAAAAGGTGTATTAGCAGATGACTTCTTTTTTTATAAAATCTCCCTTTGGTAAAATTCTTTCAATATAGAAGAAAATTTTTTATGCTTTTTATGATGGAATATTGGGTTCTTTGTCGTGTGGTCCCGGTATAGAATGAACCACCTTTTCCTTTCCTATGGGTATCGTAAGAGGCGACTAAGGAAACTTAATAGTCGAAGGATGTGCAGCGCAAAGCAGAGCAGCGTTCCTCTTTAAACATAAATGCGGTTACCGGGCGAGTTGGTAACCGCATTTATGTAAAGTGTAGTGTATTTATAGTATATAGTAAAGTGTATTTATGTCAAGTGTAGTAACTTCAGGTAAAACCTCCTAATAGGAAAAGGCCTATGATCAGTAGTGGACAATGATGTTGATTGGGATCTTTAGCTTTAAAGCAATGAAGTCGTTCCGAAATCGGGCTGTAAGTCGAAATCTTTGAAATTGCCTCTAGAGGACGTTTAAATGTAATTTTTTATGTGGGATTTGTAAATGAAATCTTTGGACATTTAGAACTAAACATTTATTTTAAAAATAACGATTCATGTCACAGTTTCTACAATTCGTATGGTCGATATAACATAGCCCGTAGCTATCGGTGGAATGTGTAATTTCACGCTTTGCGCTTGTAATAATCCTATCTTGGCCGGCCGGTACAGGGGATTACAAAATAGGTCTTATTCCGTTCCATTTATTTCGATAAAACAGATGAATGTTTTACTAAATGTTTTAAGATTTACTGCGGTTGCTTTCAGAGACTTGTTTTATTTATTTTTCATATTATTATATATTTAACAGATACGAAATTATGAAAGTAGGTTTAATAAGGTATTCATTGTAGTACAAATAATTTAGTTACAAATAATTTGTTCCCGAGCTTGTAGAATATTGGGGACTTATTATGAACGTTGAAAAATTATTATATATTCTTTATTGCACTAAAATATACAGTAACAACAATAAGTTAATAACAATGTTAGCAAAGGCGAAATTATCTCTAAAAGAGATTTCTTTCAGTCAACCTAATACAGTGGCATAGGAACTAGTGAGTGGGCAGTAGTAGTGCAAAACAGAATTAAAATAAATATTTACATAAATTATAAATCATTATATATTTAGTTGCCCTGCAAATTGGTATCAAGAGTATTGATAAAACAGATTAATTTGTAGTTACGTAATCCAATCTTGTCAAAATTATAAAAGTTTGTAATAAGCTAATTGAAAAATTATAAGTTATTTTATTAACTTACATAGTTAGGAAGGAATTTATTAGGAAATAAATAGGTTTATATACTCAAAAGTTTCAGAATATTAGTCATATTATTTTGAAAAGTAGAAATTAGAAATAAAGATGAATATAAAAATAAGTACTAAAGACATACCACTAGTCAAAGCAACCATAAACGAGGGATAATTGGGTCTTATAGGTGGTTGGAACAACAGTATAGCGCTGGTTCCAGTTGTTCTGAAGCTGAATGCAATATCACCTTTGCGCCAACCCGGCACTTCAATGTACGACTGCGAGGTTGTAAATGTCACCACGTATCGTTGTGTATCTATAATATTAATGAAATAAATTAACTATTTCAGCGATTAAATTTATTTTTAAATATAAGTACATGCAATATATGAATAATATTACGAAATTTACTTATTAAGTACTCCAGTAATATGCACCATTATAATTTGAAATCTGAATTTTGCTTACTTTTTTCTGAGTAAACGGATACTGTACTAAAATCTTTCAAATATATTATCTGTAATGCTGTTTTTGTTAATGCTTTAAATGAAATGAAGCTTACGCAGGGTAAAGTACAGTTGCTTAGTTGTTACATCTATTTAAATTTATATCTATCTGTGGCGCTGGCGCTTGCTTTTAAACTGAATATTTGCAAAGTTGAATTTCAACTTAAACGTGGGAAGTGGTATAATTAAAATATGTTTGGATAATTAAAATATATAGTTTGCTAAAAGCAATCGACAATTACTATAGCCACGCATGTTTTGAGGTTTAATAAAGATGGTATAAAAACTTTTGATATTAGAGAACATCTTACAAACAGGATTAGTAATAGCGGTAGGAAAGATTTTAAACTAACTTGTTTCTACACATTCCAACGGGCCCAAAGTAATTCTTCCTTGAGCTTCTTCGGTTAAATCCTTTTGTTGTAGAAAGAACATCTCAATTATACCCAAACTCTTCGGATCGACCAGTGTCCCTTCATCAGAATGCCATTTGTTGTCGTTAGCGTCACAGTTGCAAGACTGTGTTGGTTTGACACAGGTCGCATTGACGCCGCATGGACAGTAACCTCTGAAAAACACGAGTCTACTCAATTGGAGGGTTGGTTAAAGCTCAATAAATGAATGATGAGATTATGTACAATTTTTTTTTCTACCACAAAGGTAGCAAGCAAGCATACAGCTCGTCTGATGAAGATCGGTTGTAATATTTTATGTGTGATTTATTAATATATTTTTATAAGTCATGGCACGAATTATAATAATGTTAATTTTTACTCGCTGATATTATGAAAATTTTCTAGAACATTGTTTAATAACAGGGATATTTATAAAAGTATATAATTTGTATTTTTGGACAATAATAAATAAATATAGTAAAAAGGAAGTTGATGATAGACATTAAAGAAGAAACATTATTAAATCATAAAAAAAGATATAGAAAAAAGAAAGATGATGTTAGAAATGAAATAATTCTCATTTTATACACCTAGTGAGAAATAGCTATATCTTTAGTATATTGATTACAAAAGGAAAATAAATGGTCTATAATGATTTGGGGAAATAAGGTATTTGTTGTTCCAATTATGACTATAACACTATATATAAACATTAGATAAAAGAAATGAAAAAAAAAATAGATAATGTCGGCATTGAAATAATAACTAGATAATAATAGCTATTAGTCAATAATTAGAAGTATGGTCATTAAACGAATTTGAAAAATAGAATCGGTCTTGATATATGTTCTATGGGAATAAGTTTTTAGTATGTATAACACATATCTAAACTACTTTTCTTTTGCTCTTTAAGAATGAGGTTATGAAAATACTATGATTTAAAATACAACATCGCATTATTCGTCCATAATGCGGTAATACCTTTACCTCTTAACATTCCCTAAGAAATCTACAGTATCGTTAGATGACGATATGAACCATGTTGCACTGTGTAGTTCCAAAGGCGCCATATTACAGTCATATTTAATATACTGGCGGCAGAACAACGAGTGCGAAATTAATTCTTGGAGCATCTCCGCTGTAAATTCTCGATACTTGATCTTGAAGCTAAAATCTTGGCCCAGAGCTGAGCGTACATCCTAAAATTTGAAATAATAACCACGAAAAGTTTAGTCATATAGTATATCTGTCAATTGTAAAATATACTATTAGTAAGAATCAATATGTTGTATAGTTCTCTAGGTCTTATTGTTATTAAATGTAATTCAACAAAGTTTTAACAACATTGACAATATAACTAGTTTATATCTAGAATAAGTTTACTGTTGTAATCATTTGGAGGAAACAATAAAAACTATCTCTCTATCTATTCTCTACAACTTTGATGTATGGTATTATTTTAAATGTTTCATTGTATTCAAAAAAGTTGTGAGATAAATAAATAAACACTATTATTATTTATAACTAACCAGCGATTCACTCAGATACCGCAGTCTTTTTGAAAATGAAAAATAGATCATGTTATTCGCTGATAATATAGCTTTCTATAGGTAAGACAATTTTTTAAATAGGTTATGTAATTTTTAAATTTATCCATTACAAACAAAAAATCTGATCTTTCCTCTTTATTATATATTTTAGATATAAGTACTACAGAGAAGATGAATGGACCATATTGTAATACAGGATTGATTATTTTATCAATAAATTACCTCTATTTGATTTCCAATGAATTAGGACAAAATATTAAGTGAGTTGCCTGGGTAGAGTACTACTATTTTACATATTTCTTCCGTAAAGTAGTAAGGCGTTTATTCAATTTAATAGCTCAAGTGATATAACACTTACATTTTAGTAGTGGCAGTTAAATTATTTATAGTGTTGTTTAAATCACTTATTTCAAAAGAAAAAAGACTATAATAGTAAAAATTCATATCTATTGATAAACCTTTGCACTAATTAGGCCATCACCTTGTTTTCCATTCCCGATAATATGGAAAAATTGTGTACTTACAACTTGACTAGGTAAATTATGTTCGACGACAGTGGTAGAGGAATCTGCTTCGATTTGAAACTCGCATTTCACGTGTGCTGGAGGGAACCTGCCATTACCATCAATATCTATGAGGTAAACATCGTTTCTAGTGTATCCAAGTAGAGCTAATTCTTCGCAGGTTTTGCGGAAGGTAGCAAAATGGCAGTTTTCACCGATATAACCTAAAATAATGTAATTTTTATCAGCATCATCATTAAGAAGTCAGTGATGTCACTCTTCTAGGAATGGATATCTTTTTATAAGAAGTGTTATAATTTAGTCTTTAAATGATGAAATCTCAAATATATAATACTAATTATAACAACATTACTTGTAAATCTTTTTGACATCTTGGGGTTTTTGAACTAGTTTTCGATAAGTTTGTCAATTAGATGATATATTTGTATTGATTTTATCATACTCGTATAACTTATGTTTTTGTAAATTATTTGAACCTGTATTATCACAGTTGCAGATAACTCTGTCTTCTCTGATGGAGCAGATGCCACCATGTTCGCAAGTATTGGGTCTAGTGCACGGGTCGACATACCGACAGTCGTCGATTGCTACTTCGCCGACTACGCGTTCGGTATTTATTACATATCTGGTATAGAGAGAGAAAAATATGTAGCAACAAGTATTATGTATTTATATAATAACTGAAATGATTATAATGACTGGAACGAAGTTCCACTCAATGAAGTAAATTGACCAATCATTAAGTATGTAAATTGTCTGCTTCATAAATTTAATAATATAGTTGTTGAGAAACTGGACTAATGAACACCTAAGGATAAAATAACATAATTCAGAAGACTCAGACTAGAATTAGTTTTCGTTAGGAAGGTTCCCTCATTAAATTAACTTCCACGAGAATCGAACTTGGGAGTTAAGCTACAAGAAGCGGTGATCTGACACTAAGTCATGAAGTTATTAACATAATAAATAATAATTTAAAGAGAAGTTTTTTAAAGAAGTGCTCTTTTACTTCTATAAAATTAAGGACCGTGAATTTGACCCTGATTCAAAATGGCGTCCATTTAAAAATCCTAAAAAGCCGAAAATTATTGGAAAATTTAGTAAATCAACACAATACTGTTAATAAATGACTTTAGCAAAGAATAAGACGATGGTAAGCTTTCTCTCTGCGGTCATTTTTGATGAAATATTGTCAAGCTGAGCTTTTGGTACTTTTGGGATTATAAGGGTAAAGTATATATGTAAAATAGAATTTCCAAAAGTTTTAATTGGCTTATTTAAATACCTTGGTTCTATGAGTAAGCCGTTAATCTTTATGTTCCTCATGCACCCAATCAGACCCAAGTTGGCCGACTTGAGCCCGCTTCCAATAACGATCTTGTCTTGCAGTTGAAAATCGAGACCTTTAGTATACAATAATATTATTATTTACAACTAGTATCTGATTCATTTAGGATTAAAATCGTAATTATTTTTCATGCCACGTTGACTTTTTAAATTTTGTCAGTTGATAATTATATGAATAAATTTTAGTTAGATAATCGTCAAATTAAGCAAAGTATTATTTATTTAATAAAGAAATTTGGCCATAAATAATTAAAATTTTGTATGTTTAAAAAAGTTGTGAAATGTGGTTATAAATAAATGTAAATATAAAAATCATTGTTTTAATTCGTTAAATTTAATTATTCATCATCATCATCATTTCAGCCATTATCCGTCCACTGCTGGACATAGGCCTCCCGCACAGATTACCATAAGGAACGGTCTTGAGCCACCTGTATTCCTTAATTTAATTTAATTAATTATTATATTAAAAAAATATATTAAACCTTACTAATATTATATACCTGAAAGTAAGTTTGTTTGTTATCTTTTAGGACTTTAACGGCTTAACTATTCACTATGAAATTTGGTATATACCTATAATATGGGATGGAGAAGGACAGAGGCTACATTTTATCCCAATGTGATCAAGTCTTAGTCACGTGGACGAAGTCGCGGATAAAAGGTTGTTATATATAATTGTAATTTTTATTCGTAGGAGTTTCTAACCAGAACAAAAATAGGTAACCTATGTCCTTCTCTAACCCAAATACGTACGTGTATACAAAATTGCTAGAGTCGTTAAAATGATAAGTGGTACAAACAAACACACACATTAATATATAAGTTAAATAAGAATTATCTTCTACATAATATTTAAGATTTAATGAATAGCTTAATAGTTATATCAAGGTATATTATCTTGATATATATAATCGCTATAAAGTTTAATTATCCAAGTTATATATCTTTATTCACATTAACGTAAGATGACGAAAAATATTATACTTATATCCGTTTGGAGATGCAAAACATCCTGTATTTTTTTAAGTACTTAAATACGTTTCACTAATGGGTATGTTGTTATTAGTAAATAAAAAAAAACTTTATCCAAGGTGACTGTGTAGATGATAATCAAGCACATAGCAAGAACATAAAATATTTTATGTTTTCGATTTGTTTTTTATTTTATGCGGGATACACTAAATAACATAAAAAGTAAATAAAATATATAATTATAATATTGAAGACATTGGTGCGTTAGATAGCGTTAGTAGATATGCCTAAATAATTAAATGAACAGTTTGCCTAGTAAGAAAATCTGTTTTATTGATTGAGAATAATTAAAAATAAAAAAGAATAGTATTTAATTATATAATTATATATTTAAATGCGTGGAAAAATATGAAAATTATATTAAGTTTACCTTTATCGTTTAAAAAAACTCAGTATGAAAAATTAGAAACCGTTGATACTCGTACTTTGTTTTCTCGAATAAACTAAGGTAACGATATTGAAATTAGTTTTCATTCTTATAATCATTATGGAATTACTCTCATTCCATTTTGTAAAACAGATTACTATAGTACATAATTTAGAAACAGCGGGGTCATTACACTTCATCTTTAGTAGCTTAAATAACAGACTTGTCAAATTTGGTCGCTTAAGAGTAACTTACCAAACATTTGCGCGTGTTTATTGTGATAGTCCACAGTGAGCTTGATCCTTCCTTTCCTATAGTCTATTTCCACTGTATGCCAGTCGTTGCTTACGTTGAATTTTACCGATTTCAGTACAGTCACGTTCTTGCCCACGTCCGGTACTAATTCGAATCTGATCTCCTCTTTTACCATTCTTACCTGAAATTGTTTACAAAGATTTAAATGAAATAAACAGATATAATATGTAAAAGATTTTACTATATTTAATTTAATATCCATTATATATCTTAAATGTCATGAGTTCTATGGGTTTCCCCCTTAAGAGATGAATATTACTATGCAATATTCACAATGATGGTTAGCCCCCAAAATCGCAAATAAATGTAAATATTCATAAATTATATATTTTCTTTCACATTAGCTCGAGAATAAATAAAATGGCAATGTCTCGTTTTGTCTCATGGATGCGGTAGCGAGAACGTGTCTATAGGATATATTATATTGTCAGTGTCAGAGATGTATGAGAGAGTAAGTGTTTATACTGTATTTGGTTATCCCTAGTCAGCTCTAGTCATCTTAGAATTATAAGGAGTGGTCATATATAAGATTCTTACTTCTTTACTTCACGAAAAAGATAAAGAAGTCGATAAAGAAAATACTCATTTGTAATGAGATTTAAGTGCCTATAAATATATATTAAAGGTAGTTAATATTCCATGATTGTGTAATACATTTTCAAAATCATCTTGGTTTTTTTATATTTTATTGTAGTTTGGTTTTTCTCATAGATTTAGCCGTCAGTAATGGATTTTTAGAATCAGTTAATTGGCGGTGTTCTGTGTTGTCATTCAAAGGTTAAAGATATAAATGTAAAAAGGTATTTTGTATTTTATGATACAACAACATTATAGATGAGACATGTATAATTTATGGCTATAAAAAATATAACAGCTTTTGATTATGTCGTATAAATAGATTTTATTTGTCAGTAAATTCTACAGATCACAACGTAAACTAGATGTGACATGATTTTATAATTTGTATGTATCAAGTATACATGATAGCTAATATCTACTGATACAATGAAACACAATAGTTTGTTTACTTGAACGTGCTTATCTCTGGAACGACTAATCGGATTTGAAAAATTCTTTTTGTATTTGATATCTCATTACTTGTGTAAGGGTATAGGTTATTCTACAGATCACAACATAGACTAGATGTGATGCTGTTATTGTAGTTACTCGAATAGTTTCAAGCTTAAGTTTCAAAGTTAATACGCGATTAATATAAATAAAAAAATAATTATAATATTAATGCAATTAATATGAGTAGCGTCTCCGTTTGTAGTTCAAATACAAGCGTACATATCATAAAACATACATAGACTGCCAAACTTCAACCCTTTCCTTTCATTAATACGTGTACAATGTTTAACTTTCTTGTTATACTTGGGAAATTCAATAATATTGTTATGACATTATGAGTACTGAGGTATAATTGTCTATAACGAAATTTTAAAGTACTTATTGTAATTCAGATTTAGGGACGTCGATGTTATTTGTTTCTATAGTTATATTGAGGACTATACAACATATCATACATAGAGTACCCTGCAATCCTGGCACGTCCTTCCTTCCTCGTGGGTGCAATAAGAAGTAACTAACTAAGGTTAACGGTTGATATAATGATGATATGATGGTGAATGTCAGATCAGAGATTTTACAGATACATATTTTGACATATTTTGAATGATTATTTTATGACTGCGAAGATTATTATTAACATACAAACATATATATGGTATATATATATATATATATATATATATATATATATATATATATATATGATTAAAATGATAAAATAATATATGAGTGTCATACAGAATTGAATAAACAATAAATATGCTCATGACAATAACACGTAATGAGGTACACATATTTCTAAATAAAGATAGAACACAATGTGAGAAAATGAACTTCGGTGATGCAAAAGAGCAATATCTCAGTTGTTTGCTCAAGAAGCAGAAACTACTGATTTTCATTTATTTCCTGGAGAACTTTTACTGCCTTGATTAGCACATACAATTTAGGACATACGAGTATATTAATGGTATTATAATTTTAATATTGGGTTCATATTGGATCTAAAATTTAAAACCATACCATAATTATAAATAAACAAAGAAAAAAAAATTATTCCTCGTTTGCAGACGATTTTTATTTATAGGTGATAAACTTACCTCCCAATAACCTTGGCCTGAGGTAATCTGACTGTATGCCAACACCGCCATATTCTTGCTCGTCTTAAAGTCAAATATCAAGTTTATACTGTGACTCTGATTCAGCGGCCACCATATATGGGACGTTGCGAAAGGATATGTTATTGGTATCACTTCTATATCGATCTCTTCGAATTCAGGGTCTAGCACGCCGATATAATGCACTTTAGTATTATTCTGTTTTAATTCATAAAGTATTGAAACATCGTTGTAATAAACGTACTTTAAGTTGCCAGCGAAATTGTTGAATGACTTCAGTCCCTTCATTTTATGTAAGTCTGGACCACCGCATATATATATTTCGGGATCTATGCATACAAATTTCGCATCGCCCGGTACTTCGTACACACCTTTTTTGTCGTCAAAATAAACGAACACGTTCTTTTCTTGTAATACAACAGTGAGGTTATGCCATCGGTTATTATTGACTTTATCGCCTATATAATCTTCTACAGGACCATCGCCTAAATCTATTTGGATAGCAACCTTTTCTTGATGTATTGAGAGAGCAATGTAATGGTGTTTGTCGTCGATTTGCCCGCTCGCGTAAAACAGAGCTGAGTCATCGAAACGCGTCTGCAAAAATATTCTTATTTGACACACCTTGTGCAATAAATTTGTTATAACGGTAGACGTCTTGACATTTTGATCGTACAGAATGCAGTAGTGTTTAGAATTAGTAAATGCGTCAACTTGGTTTGCGTGGCATTGATTTAACAAGTACTAAGTCTAGACTCTAAAGTTAGAATCCATATTTAGCATTCGCAAGATTAAGACAATCACAATCTCTATATTATATAGGACTATATAACATGACATGTTAACGCGGCTGGATTAGTTCCATGTAATTGAATGAAATCATACATTTCTTATATAATAATAAAAAAAAACCACTGATAATGGAACTGTCATGTTGTTACAGCTTATATAACATTATTTATTGTCAAAGGAACAAAAAAAAAAATAAACAATAGAATTGCCTTACAATTTATATTAAACATATCATTAATATAATATTTTAAAAAGTATTAAACATACTATACATTAAAATCAAGATCAAGATTTTGCTTGACAAAAAATCAACATTAATCGACATAAAACCCCATCGATTTAAAAATAATCATCAAATGAGTTTAGAATAGATAAGTAGGCAATGTCGAATAGAGAATCACTTGCTGACTCTGATCTATTGCTATATTATTCATTAGCTTTAACTCGCTATTTCCTCTTCATGACCGTGATATGGTCACTGACTGGGATAAAAATAATGGATGGGGTAGGATAAAGTAACCTGTGTATTTCTCCATCCCATATGAATACTTGTGTATCAAATTTCATATTGATTGGTTAAGATGTTAAGACGTTAAGAGGCGATAAAAAAACTCATTTTCATAATTACAATATATGTAAAAATAAGTTGATGTATTCTTTTGTAAAACCGTCTGCGTTATTATCGGAATGCAATAAATGTACACAATAAACTTGTAATTCTTTGTCAGTAAATTCTAGAAAAAAAAAAATGAAAAGAGCACCATTCAAAGTCATTGTTGAATCAAATTAGATAATTACCATAACAGGAATACTTTGAATATTACTGAGGAACTATTTCGAGTCTATGTTGACATTGTGTTTTGACGTACACAATACTAGATTTCTATTCTATAACTAATATGTTAACTGGTATTGGAAAATTTTATATATTTTAAAATAGTTGTTGTTTGATATTTTACCAGAGGGTAGGTAGACTTAAGAGGGGATTAACGAACATAATGGTAGAGGGATGGGCAGCAGTGTTCTTCTTAAAACATCACCAAAACCTAACTGCGGTTGCTAACCTGTCTGCCAAGCGTGACAATTATTAATGGCGTATTCAATTTACATTCTGGGGTAGGCACGTCTTACCTGAACCCCCCTATACCTTTAACTATACTTATGCTTGCTATAGGAGTGGGATATAATAGGGAAAGTTTCGGGTACGTAGAAATAACAACATAGTTTTCAAGATAAGGCTCCATGCATTATAATTGTCATCCATTACAGGAACACGAGTGAGACAGATGGATACATGCAGATGACTTTTATACAATGCTCCTTTCTAGTAAATTTCGGAAATACCAGTAATACTTAATATTATACACATTTCATTAATTTAACCCACTCCAAAATATTTTAACCACTCAATAATTATTAGAAAAACAAGAAATCGGAATATGATTTTCATATTTTAATAATATTTATTTTTATATATTATTATTTGGTAAATTGCCAACTCTATACACGAATATAGACTTGGCGATTGGCTTTACAAATAGTACGAACTAATAATAATATTATAAAAAGAAAAGATTTGATTGTTTTATTTGTAATGGATAAACTCAAAAACTACTTAACTGATTTTAAAAGTTCTTTTTAATCTATAGAAAGCTAAATTGTCAACGAGTATTACATACCATAATAATATATTATTTTCGAAAATGTTATATATCCATGCGAAACTGGGCGCGACTGCTAGTTAGAAATAAATGTTTAAAATTTTTTTATATTATAATTTATTAATATTTACCTTAAAATGTAGGCTCACTCTCGTATTGGTGGAGTGCACTCGATCTTTCCAATCGTAAACTCGATACGATACGTAACTGGAGCCGCGTAAAGTGAGAACTGTCGCCGCTGCATTCGATGACGTAACACAAAAAAAAAAACAAGATAATTAATACATTTACAATTAGTGAAAGTAGTTGAAGAAATGATAGCATTTTGTGGAATCCGGATTAGAGTTGAATGTAAACAAATTAAAGTTTTAATAAGTTATTTAACGAGTAAAGTAATTAAAGGTTCTTTTGTTAACATTGTTCGTATTTCACACGGCTAATTATACGAAGTAGTTTTTAATCAGAACTACTTATCGATTATAAAATCTTAGTATAACTGTGTACTGAATATAATAAATATACTTATTAAAGTGTGTATTTACTATGTGGAATTGGTTTTAAATAATGTTCTTGTAATAAACAAATTTACTAAAGATCACTTAATATATATATATATATATATATATCTTAAAGGTTGACTAGTAGAGAATGCCTATAGCATTAAGTCTGCCTCTTGTGAAAATAAATAAATTAATACAATTCGGCGTATTCCAGTGATCTTTAATAAATTTGTTAGTTACTGGAAAACATTGATAGATAAGTTTTGCTTTCATTAAAAGTCAAAGACAAATTACATTGTGAGGCGAAAAGTAGAGAAGTTTGTACCATTAACATCATGAAACTCTAAGTAAAATTTTATCATGATACCATACATTTTGAATAATTAATTCAAATCAAGAGTTCAGCACATATTTTAGATGTGTAATCAAGTTAAACGGGAGTAAATAGATACTAAAGCAGATAGTTAAAAAAGATTTATATACTTTAATGTCTTTAACTGTTTACAGAATGTACCTACCTACTTGTAAATTTTAGGTAATAAAATTTAAGATAGGATCTGTGTTTATGTTAGGATGTTTTCGCTTGTTATATTGGTATTAATTGCTTTTATATCTCTTTTATCTTTTCTAGGGGTGCCAATTTTTACAGTATAATTGGATGTTAAATAATTTAATTGCTTCCCATATGTAAAATACGTAGTTTTTAATATCGTTTATCATTTGATATTTATAACATAATAATATTATTGTACATAATATGTCAAAATGTTTTTAAGTCAATAATTTATTCCTAAAAGATAATTCTTAAATGAATTGCATGTAAAAAAAATATATATAAATTAATTAATGAGATACGTACTGTAAACATCGCAGAGCTGTTCCTCATACAAAGTACCAAAACAATCACATCTATATCCATTATATTCATTTATGCATCTAGAACCTTCGAAACATAGATTCTCTGTGGTTTTACATTTGTCTATACATCCTTCCTTAACATTTTCATGTTTTGTAGCTATGAGTGGTACTATTGGCAATAGATCAGAGGCCGCTTTCCCTGAGCTTAGTACCATATCACTAATACAGCCAACGAATGATTCTATTATGTATTTGACGCCGTGTAATTTTTCTTCTGAACTTAGACCTGATAATTTATATTAGTTTATGAATACGGAGAATTTATGTAAATAAATAATAAGAATTTGAATGAATTTAAGAGAAATAAAGATTGAATTGAGATTCAAGAAATTAAAATATATTAAAGTTTTATCATTAGCACCCATTCATGTTTAAAGCGACAATTGATATTTTCTATTAAATAAGCTGTTAGTCAACTTATTTCTCAATTTGTGTCGAATAAAATATTATGAAATGCTTTTTTGCCAGTTTTTCGGTGAAAATAAGTAAAATGAATTAATATTTAGAAAATATATTACCGCTATATAGACTTATCGAGATTACAATCTGACAAAATGATAACTAGCTACATACCTCCAATTAAAATGACCGATGTTAGATTATCTGTAATACCATAGTTTGTGTCAAAACTTAATCCCTGAAAATAAAGCGATTATATAAGATAATACAAATAAAAATAATCGTTCATATTTTATTCTAAATAATGTCAACAAAAAATAATGGATAATGGCTAAAATGATGATGAATATCAATAAAATAAAAACAAAATTTTGAGTTTCGAACATTTAACATTATATCTGTACATTTATAATATATTGATATGGATTTGTCAGATTGACAGAGTCACGTACACATTAGATCTACATGATATTAAATTTAAAAAATATAAAAAGTTACTTTTTACCACTGAAAACCATTATAAAACACGCGAAAATATGTGACAATTATGTGATAGTGTTATCTATATAAATGCTACACGTTTATATATGAATACATTGAAATAACTAAACTTTATATACCCAAGTGATGGTGAACTGTGACCTTAGTTAAAAGCACTTAAAATAGGATGTTATAAAGAGTATTCATATAATCAGTGAATTAACTGTGGAAAAATATAGTGATTAAATTAAAATAATGTTGAACTAAATGAAGTTGATTATGTAAATATTATACGGAGGGTAGTAACAAAAAAAAAAAAAAAAAAAAAAAAAAGGCACTGATTTTACGTTTCGTTTTTGCATATGACGAATCATGCTTATTTGAAGAAATATATGCATTTTATTTTAAATATATAGGAATTAATATATTAAAATGGATTCAGTTAACACAAGACCAAGAAGAGCAAAATCACTAACCGATATATCAGAATCAGAATCATCTTCACCATATTCAAGTATGAAAAGTCTTCCGAATATTTCTGTGGAAGATGTAGACTTAATTACAGAACTAAAAGCACAAATCTACACACTAAATATAGAATTACACTCAGCCCATCAAGAAATAGAAAATTTATGCATGGAAAATAGAACTTTAAAAAAAATTATAGAAAAAAAGGACGTAACTATTAAAATATACAAATCGATGAATTCGCCAAATACATGTACGTCCAACATACATATAAAAAATAAAGTTACATTATCTGGAAAAAAACAAAGATTATCCTCTGGCTGTGAAATTTTAGAAACAGAAAAAACTGAAGACAGATTCTTCAATGAATTCGATCTATGTACTCCAATACGGCGAACGTTAATTAAAAAACCAAAGAAAAATCCTATATATAATGAAGAGTCGGACACAGATTTTGTATTAAAGCATTTGAATAATCCAGAGTTTAAAACAGAAATTACAAAACAAAACCAAGAAATATTAGAAAAGGACAGACATCAAAATTATGAGCAGAATAATACCAACGAAAAGAAAATTAAAAACTGCATAAACAATAAGACCGATAAAAAAAAGAGAATTATAATAATCGGTGATCAGCAAGTTGCTGGTCTAGCCTTAGAATTATATCGAACTCGTAAAAATAAATGGAATAATGATTATAAAATAGAGGGATTTGTAAAGCCTAATGCACAAAGCTCTGATATACTGAATACTTGTTCCAATTTGGTATCGGGATTGAATAATAACGACAGAGTCATTCTTTCTGTAGGGTCAAATGATCAGAACCCTATGCAACTACTTAACAATTTAACGCTAAAATTAAATAATATGAGACATACGACAGTGTTTATTCTACAGGTTCTCAAAAGCACACATTTAAATGTTAATTTACTAAATTATCATATTAAAACATTAACACTTAATTACACAAATTGCAAATATATTTATTACAAAGATAATAACTTAAATCGACATGTGATGCGAAGTAAATTTTGCAAGTATATTAATTATGAAATTGACATGAATGACTATCAAAATAAATACTTGACTAGATTATACAAACCTTCATTGACAGATAAAAAAATGCAAGACAAAAATGTGAACACCTATAAAAAAGGGACAATACCATACTATTTTAATTTAATAAAAAATAAAAATAAAATAGCAAAAATAGAACAATCATTTTTTCGTGGAAAAAGTGTATAAAGTTACAATTTTTCATCAAAATATGGGAGGTATTTTGAATAAAATAGATATATTTCAATCGGCTATAGACGAACTAAATTCAAAAATAAACAAAATAGATGTTATCTGTATAAGCGAAACATTCATAAAAGAGGGTTCTATAAATAACTTAAAAGTTAAAAACTATAATATAGCTGCCCATTACTGTAGACAACAAGAAAAAAGGGGCGGTACTTGTATTTTAATCAAATCTAACTTAGAATACAAAACACTAAATTTAAATGAATTTTCAAGTATATACGCCTTCGAATGTTGTGGAATAGAATTATCAAATTTTAATTTGACAATTATATGTATATATAGAACCCCTACTTCAAATATACGAATATTTTTTGAGCAGTTTACTAAAATATTAAACAAATATACGTCGCAAAAGAATAAAAAAGTTATTATTTGTGGCGACTGGAATATCGATTTATTTAAGGAAAATAAGAATAAAAATGAACTAACATCAATTCTGACAAATTATAACTTTAGAAATCACATAAATAAGCCTACACGTAAAAGGGCTTGTATCGATTTGATAACTAGTAATGCAGAAGATATTAAATCAGAAATACATCTATTAGCACTGTCTGACCACGAGACAGGACAAACTGTTACATGTACTATTAAACCGTGCAAAAGAATATACAAAAAGCCACTTACATGGTTTGAAAAAAAAAAGAGACTACAACAAGGAGAACATTAAGAAATTCAAACACTGTATTTCGTCACTGACTTTCAATGAAGTATTTGAAGAAAGTGATGCAAATATTGCATTTAACAAACTCCATGACTTAATCACCATGTTTTATAACTTATGCTTTCCTCTATTGACAGTTAAAATAAATAATAAACCTGTAAAGACAAAATGGCTAACTAAAGGTTTAAAACGAGCTTGTTTAAATAAACGACGACTGTATTTAAAATATCAATATGACAAAAGCAACAAAAAACAGAATTTAAAAAAATACGTAGAATATAACAAGGTTTTAAAAAAATGTATTACTAAATCACAACAATTAATAAATATGCGTTATATCTCAAACTGTAAAAACATATCTAAAGCAGCGTGGAATGTAATAAAAAATAATTTTAGTTTCAATGACAATGCTACAAACTTAATAAATAAAATTAGTACTGATACAGGAATATATACACACTCAAAATACATAGCAGAATGTTTTAATGATTATTTTCTTAGGTTAACTAAAGATAAATGTAACTCAAAAATAAAGACACCACAAAATATAAACACTATGTTTTTAACTCCAGTAAATGCAGATGATATTTATAAAATTATAAACAGCCTAAGGAATACAAATGCTGTAGGTTATGACGAAATAAATACAAATATTTTAAAAATGTGTGCAACAGATTTATCAAAACCACTCTGTCATGTAATAAACCGTTCTTTTCAGCAGGGTATCTTTCCAGAGAGGTTAAAATATTCCGTGATTAGACCACTGCATAAAAAAGGTGATACGTTAAATTTGGCAAATTATCGCCCAATTACATTAGTCCCAATTCTATCAAAAATTTTTGAAAAAATTGTATATAATAAAATAAACTCTTTTGTAACACAGCATAAGATTTTAAATCCTAACCAATATGGTTTTAGAAAATCGAGTTCTACTACTTTAGCTTGTTTCAATTTGATCAATACAATCACACAAAGTTTAAATAATAAAGTTCCAGTTGCTGCTCTACTATTAGATATGAGCAAAGCATTTGATTTTGTTTCACATAAACTATTACTAAATAAACTTTATAATTATGGAATTAGAGGCAAAATACACGACTGGTTAGCAAGCTATTTAAAAAATAGACAACAGTGTGTTGAGATAACCCAAATTGTCGGGAAAAATAAAATAACAAACAAATCGGACTACAAAACTTGTAATGCGTGTGGTGTTCCTCAAGGTAGTATTCTAGGGCCTCTTTTGTTCTTACTATACATAAATGATTTACCAGAGGCGATAAATCATGAAACGATGCTTTTTGCAGATGATACAACAATTATTGTTAAATGTAAAAATGCATCGACTTTTGAAAATGACATAAATGAAGCATTACTAAGAGCCGTTAATTGGCTAGAAGCTAATAATTTGACTATAAACATAACTAAGACACAATTAATACAATTTCAAACATACAATAGTAAACATATAAATCTAAATATAAATTATAAGAATATAATAATTAAAGAAATAGATTCAACAAAATTTCTAGGAATATATATAGATAAATTTTGTAATTGGAAAAACCACGTTCACAACCTAAGTAAAAAACTTGATTCGTTTGTGTTTGTATTAAATCGTCTAAGGAAAGTGGTTTCCGAAAAAGCAGCAATGTTAGCATACCATGGATATGTTGCTTCACAATTACGCTATGGTTTAATACTATGGGGAAACTCTGTCGATATTATAAAAATATTCAGAGCACAAAAAAAATGTGTCAGATCATTGTGCGGGGCTTATTTCCTGGATAGTTGTGAACCATTGTTTAAAGAAAAAAAGATTTTACCGTTACCAGCTCTTTACATATATGAAATTTGCTTGTTCATCCGAAAACATATTGAATTGTTTGTAATTAAATCCACAAATAGAAGTCAAAGACTTCAAAATAAATTAGAAATACCGACACAGAGACTTAACATGTTTCAAAGAAATAGTTATTGCATGGCTATTAAAATATATAATAAATTGTCTAATAATGTTAAAAATTTGACCAACACACAGTTTAGGAGAAGATTGTTTGACTACTTAATTGATGGTTGTTTCTATTCTGTGAAAGACTTTTTAAATAGATGTAATTTGTGATACTTGACATTGTAAAAGCTTATTAGTAATTGTAATTGGAATGTTAATTGACTTATTTTGGATATTATAAAAAAAAAAAAACATTTACACACCGAAATGGTAAATATTGCTGAACAATTACTTAACAATAACTTAAGATCTGCTACTGGCAATCACCAATATTTTGTAAATAAATGATTATTATTATTATTATTATTATATACGACATGGTCCAACTATATTATGTGAAAACTTTTCATTGGATTTGAAAATTAGATCTGGAGACGTCGATGGTTTATACGTAAGTTACCAACAATATAAACAACGACATAATTAGGTATATACCTAATTATGTTGTTTATTTATAATTCAAAATACTTCGATTTTATTATTTATAATATTTATTATAAAATAAATTTTTATTTGACTTCTCAATAAATTACAGTTAATTCTTTCTATAGTTTATTATATCTTACAATTTGCTTTTACCATATACTAGTTTAATTTAATTAAATAAATGATGCTGTACCTGTAATAATAAAGAAAAATTATTGTTAAATCAAAGAAAGCTGGAACATAAGTAAACTACATTTTCATAATATCGAACATACGGTTTCTTTTTCCATTTACTTCCATTGATTTTTTGTGTTATTGTTTATTTACTCTTATTTCTTCAATTTACTGACCTTTAAATATACCTCCTCTTTTAGTTGATCGACTTTAGCGATGAGCCGTGCCCCGTGGACGTCGATGGTAACCACCACACTGTGCCATTGGTCCCTGTTGAGTGCACGGCCCACCGTTACCGATGTTAGGTGCTTGCCAAATACGTGCACCACTAGAAATAATGAAAACAAACAGAAAATTTATCAGTAATAAGGTATTTTTAGATTATAATTTCTATTATATTAATAACATTATAGTATTTAAACGATATACTTAGATTATTATCTGTCAAATAGGAGACGAACGTATATTTACAATAAATGTATTTTGATTCAGGTCATGGTACAGCCGAAACGTGAAAGCAAATACAGCAGATATAACGTATAAACAACGTCACCAAATATGATCTTATTTTTAACCGACTTCAAAGTGCAGGTTTTTAATTTGGTTATATTTTTTGTTTTATTACTTTATAATTTTTGCAAAATTCTTTTTTTATGTGAAAGGATTAATTACAGATAGGTCTCGTTTACTTTTTAAATCAAAATAAACAGTTTTGCCATAATTGATGTTGGATTTTTTGTGGCATACAATCTTAAATTTTCTAGGGTAAGGTTACGATAGGATGTACATCTGTATTAGTCTTACTTTATTTTGTAACAATCGAGGCTATTGTTTATCTTTATGAAGCAAAGGTTGCGTGTTATGTAGCAAAATCTGTATGTAAGCATATTTTCTTACAGATTTTTTTGTAAATTTGATATGATATGATATGAATAAATTTTGATGTAAAGTGGTAGCCGTCGCCTATAGACATGAGCAGTATCATAGACATAACAGAGTATACTGTTTCGCCCATGATACCTTCCATGCGTTGCCTTTCCTGAGGACTCAGATGTTATTCCTCTGTTACCTGTAAATTCACTGCCATATACCACCCTTCAAACCGAAACACAGCCATGCAAACAAAACTGCTTCACGGTAGAAACACGAATGGGACAGAGATGCCTAAGCAAATGACTTTTTACTAAGTCTCCCTCTGGTAATTATTATAGTATTAAAGTTATTTTCAGCCTAGTTTTTTAGTTTTATTATTTTTCTGTTGTTACGCCTTGACCAGATATACATATATAGTTATTCCTCTCCATTCTAAGGTTGTTTGGAAGATATCGCTATTTAGCGATAAGAATGCCCATTGTTGTCTCTTTATCTTGATTTTTGTAATTAAGTTAATTATTTTTTTGTGTACATATTGTTAATCTTTGTGATCTATAATATTCTTTGAAAGAAAAAATTAAGATTTCATTTAGTCATTCATTATAACATCAGAAATAATATTTCTCTCTAACACTAGTTTTTCAAGATGACAACGCAAAAATAAATTATAAACGAATTAAATTAGATATTTCAGCAATGAATACTTCATTTAAAGATTCGTGCAAAATAGTTAATAACTATTTTTAAGGTTAAATTATACAGAGTATTCAAACATCAAGGTTCTATATGCCCTGGTGGTACCACCACGCTGCAAATGTATACAAATAGAAATACTGCATTTAATTTAAAGTTTTGTAAAGTTTTCTTCATGGCCAACCTATTAAAGTGGCCTTGAGTTTACACCAAAATACTTATGTGACTATCTTCAAGCCTTATTTTGCGAATTACTATTCGCAAAATAATTGATATATAAAATTTAAATTATCAAAATCAAGGTCAAAGAAAACAACGTGTTTCCTCTTTGAATAAATTATTATTTAATGAAATAAATCCTATCTCATCAGTCGTTCATTGTCCACTGTTGAACATAAGCTTCCCCCATAACGGGGCTTATTTAATGAAATATTTTAAACGAATTATTTTTATATCGTTTACTAGTTTTTTTTGTTCGCTTCTTCATACGTGTGATTTCAGTAGTAGAGGAATTAATGAAATAAATCACTTTTAGGCATCATATCAAGACAAAAAAGGGCCGTGTCGTCCCGGCATAAAATAGGCCACCACTTCCTTTCCCATGGGTGTCTAAGTTGCGACTAAGGGAACTTAATGGTAAATAAAAAAATATCACCAAAAGCCTAACTGCAGTTACCAATACAAGCATCAAGCATGGCAGCTATTGGCAAAATCTCCCTTTTAGTAGAAGCCTATGTTCAGCAGTGGACAATTAATGGCATGATATGATGATAAAGATAAAATATACACCAGATTTTAAGTTAAAACTTGAGGAACAAAACTGTGGAAAATATATACAATTTAGAGTAGCAGTTTTTGTGTAATGCTGAAACTGACAAATAGATGATAACTGACCAACAGAAAAATTATATAAAAGATATCGTTTTCACTCACTGTACGTCATCATAATAACCTTCATATTATTTTTCATTAAGTATCTCCCATGTCATTTAATCTAAGCAATGTTGCCAATAGAGGGAGGCCTATATTCGGCAGTGGACAGGTAATTGCTGATATGGTAATGATGATCTCTCATGTACAAATAACATGTATTTACAATTTTATGATATAGGATCATAACAAATATTACTCAAAGTATTTGTACATTTTTCCACTGTATAAAAAGTTAGTTGTTAAGTAAATTTACAGTTCTAGCAAGATAAACAATATTAGATTTTTTTTATACAACTTAGAATGGCAAACAAGCTGACGGGCCACCTGATGGAAAGTGGTAACCGTCGCCTATAGACATGAGCAGTAAGTACCATGGACATAACAGAGTATACTGTTTCGCCCATGATACCCCTCATGCGTTGCTATTCCTGAGGACTCAGATGTTATTTCTCTGTACCCTGTAAATTCACGCCATATCCCACCCTTCAAACCAAAACACAGCCGTGCAAACACATATATATAGCTATAGATAGTACGACATAGACACGTTACGATATTTATGTAATATACTCCAGATTCTGAGAATATCCCTGAAGCACTAGAGAATCAAGACAACTCGATCAACATTGAATATATTATTGTGCTAAACACGGAGGCGGTAATAGGATATGCTGTGTACAGCCGATATAGAATGTTCCGAGTACGTCGTACAAATCGATCTCAAGTCTGAATTGAAACATATCTCGAGTAATTGTCTATGGCTAGATTTTTATTGTTATAGTAATTTAACTAGTATATTTTGTTCTGCAAAAATGATAAACTGTATTGCAGTTTACTTTTTTCAACCGAGTTAAAAAAAAACGAGGCTCTCAATTTGGTTGCCTTTTTATGTTTGATATCTCAAAACTCCGTTAGTTCTAAACCGATTTGATGAATTCTTTTTTAATTTGAAAGGATATACTTACAGATTGATTTTATAGGAATTTAATCAAAATCGGTCTAATAGTTTAGTTTTTAGATAGTGGGACACAATCTTTTTGCGGTTTGTCGGTCTGTGTGTCAAACCGTGAACATACATACACACGCGTGTTTACATGGATTTTACTTTGTAACAAATATATTTTTTGTTCTGAACAAATAATAGCCCGATCATTACAAAATCAATAAGAGACTAATATTATAATAAATTCTTAAACATGAAAAGAATTGTGAAACTGATTCACAACTGTCTACGTAATTGCGTAATATGTTGATAAGAAATCAAATGAATTAAGAATCTTTTTCATTTGGAAGTTGTTTAAAAATAAAGTTCTTATTACTTGCCTTAAAAATGTAATGTTAAACCATGATACGCCAATATTTTTTAAATCGATATATAAAAAATGAGGCATAAAACCTTAGTCTTCAGGAACGGCAACGAATGGCGATATATCATGGGCGACACTCTGTGATGTCCATGTCTATAAGTGACGGATACTACTTTCTATTGGGTGGGTCGAGAGCTTGTTTGTCCTTCTAAGTTGCATAAAAAAAACACAAAAATACTGACATGACATGCTAAGAATAGATCTTTACTCACCTTTCAACTCTCCTTTTTCTACGATTACGTATAAGGCGTAAGGTTGCATCTTGAATACGGGATTCTTAACATTATGATACACGAGCAGGCCATGAGGAAGCCTCGTGCGGAATTTGAACGATATTTCCCTGCATAATCTGAAAATAAGCTAATATTATAGACAACACGATGTATTTATAAATTTAAGGTAGTATTATTGTTGTACTATTGCAAAAGATAGAATAGTCTCTTTCAATTATATGTGTATTGTGTTCTCAGCTCTTAACCGATACGTGAACAGCTGAGTTTGACTTAAAAGCGTATTAATTAAAACACCATTTAAATATGCAGCTCATACTCTTGAGATTGATTTGTTAATACGTACTTGACATTGGTAAAGAGTTTCGAGTCGAGATTTTGCTTCGTAATTAAATTTAGATATGACTGTAAGGGAACTATGCATCATTAACTAATCCAAGGGAAAGTTAATGTGTAACAATACGAAATGTAATAACATCATTATCTCAGCCATTATCCGTCCACTGCTGAATTGCCTTTCTGTAGACTGCCATAAAGAACGGTCCTGAGCCACATACATCCACTGATTCCCTGCATTCACTAGGTTGCCATTTTAGCTTGTAAGCAAGCTGAAGTGCCAAGAAGTAAAGTTTTTTGGGCTATGTCGGTTACTTTGGTTCTTTTGCGGATATTCTCGTTTCGGATTCTGTTACGCAAAAAGACTCCGAGCATAGCCCTCTCCATAACTCGCTAATTTGAAGCTTTTGCTTACAGGCAATCGTGTAGGATCATGCTTACGGGAAATAATGTTTTGGTTCCATAAGTTAATATTGGCTACATGCATTGGTTAGACCTTCGTCTTCAAACTTTGAGGTAATCTGCATGAGAAGATGTGGGTAGTAGATAATTATTCTCGTTTCATGGTGTAGGAATAGATTTGGAAGTGGAATTTTATTGGATAATTATAATATGGGTATTGATAACCATTACTATGTGTACTATTATTGAACCGAATACAAAGTGAATTAGGTGTGAATTTGTAAATTGACTTTGTGCATTATATATAGCAATATGTCAAAGTAATCATGTACCAAATCTGTACCAAACAAATTGACGGTTATGTCCAGTCCTCCACGATAAGGGGCTTGTTTGCCATTCTAAGTGGCATAAAAAAAAAAAAAAAAAAAAAAAAAAAAAAAAAAAAAAAACCAAATCTGTAAATGAGTATGTCTATGGACATATTATCGCTGTCGCTAACGCCGCCTTAATAGATACTTATCTTATTTATTTTTTCATCCAGATTAACTACAATTATAATAAAATTTGCAATGCATATATGATAATGGATTGACAAAGTTACACAACTTTACAACTCACAATCAGTAAAGGTTTTTTGATTCTTTTAAAATAAAATCCAGTTGTTAGTTTAATCTTACCTCAACTGAAATCTCTGTATTATATCACCATCTAACTGTATAAACGTGTTGTCTTTAGCGAACATAAACGTGCGATGGTGACCTGACTCCGCGAAGGTGAGGAACCTGTCTCTATCGCTGGGTGGTATGGGCGGTATTACTGTGGCATATGTTGACGTGGATACATTAATTGTTGTGCTGACTGATGAGGTTGATGTGAGAGATAGTGTGGTTGGTGGTAGTACTGGAACAAGGAAGTAAAATAAATTGAAAGTAAAATTAAAAGGTTAACTATAACGCTTAATTATAAAATTCATCAAATATTAAGAATTTTCTGCAACAAAAATAATTATTTATTTATTTAATACTTTATTGTACGCACTAATTATATATAAAAATATAACAGCGGAAATAAAATGTACAAAGGCGAGCTTAACTCTAAAAGAGTTCTCTTCCAGCATACCCAAAGTGGAAAAGAGCATCAATCAATCAATCAATAATTAAATAAATAAGTTTTACAAAAGAAACTAGAATATATTTTTATTGTTTATTTATTAAGTAGAAAACTTCTTTTTTATGCAATTTAAGATGATAAATTGGCTAACAAGTGGTCAAAAGTAGTAGGTAACCATTGCCTATAGTCTAAAACAGCACCATGGTTATCATAGATTACTTTTGTGATGCCTAAGTGTTCATCATCATCATCATATTAGCCTGTAACTGTCCACTGCTGAACATAGGCCCCCTAATAAGAGCGGTTTTGTCAGTAGTTACCACGCTTGGCAGACGGGTTGACAGCCACAATTAGGCTTTGGTGATGTTCTAAGAGGGATGTTGCTACCCACTCTTCGACCATTAAGTTCTCTTAGTTGCCTTTTACGACACCCACGGGAAAGGAAACGGAAAAAACGTTATGCGTTGATATTTCTTAGATCAAACGTGTTATATCTTTATTCTTTATAATTTCATCCAAAGGTTTATATCAGTATAATACTGAATAATAGTAGAAATGTGTTGGAAATATATGGTTTTTTTAATTACAAATTTAAAGTTTAATTACTTGTATCGATTAACTTTAAATTATAAAGAACTGCCATAAGTTTGTGATATGCATTGAATATTGAATTTGTACTTTTTTGTATATACCTTTATGTAAGTACTTAAGTATAAAGATAAAAAAAATTTTAGCCTCGCGTAAATGTAATGTGAAAAAAATACGTTTGAAAATGCATTTTATTATTTAGTATATTACTTTCAAGAGAAAGTAGGTAAATGCATAATTTGGCGAGTGTAGTCAAATACAAACTGTATGCAGGAGTGCGTTCTGATTGACGCCAAATATGCGGTCGGTTAGGCGATTTAGACCAATTCAATATGGAACTATAAATATATAGGAAATTTTAGATATTCATCAGTTTCAGATTGATAATCATCAATTCACAATGATTACACATCTGCTCGTTACTGCCTCTTCTTATAACTTCTTTTAAACATACCTTTTTCTTCTGAGGCCAAGTCTACCGGTAAACTGGATTGAACATCAGCTGTTCCGTACAAAATAAAAAGTAGAATTAATATTATTCCTCTTCCATTCAGCGACGTTATCATCTTGCTCGATCGCGTTCATTTATCTGTAATTTACCAAAGATCATTCGAAAATAGTTATAAACGCAATGCCATTAAGAATCAATTTTATTGGATATTAAAAAGGTTCTTTGAATGCATTTTGGTAAATCTAAAAGTGTTTTCTTAAAAAATCGATTTCCTCTCATCGGTTGTAATATAAAGATAGTATTTTGTATTTTGTTTCTTTGTAATAAGGTTCTGTTTTCAATCGTGTGGATTGACATAGGGTATTGAGCGGAAATATGGAATCAGAGAGTGTAGTGTGGGCTGGCTAAAATGTTTCTATTTTAGATTGGACTGCCTTTTGTATAGATGAAAGTAAGTTCAGAGGTCATTTTATAATGGACATGTTGTACAGCTAAATTGGCTCAAGTAACCGCTTGTCTCGAGATGTTGCTTTAGGTTGACACATCGGTTTTGGAGTTAGTATCTGTATTTGGCGTATTTCTTCTTATACTGTTACCCAAAAATAAAAACATTCATGATTTCATTGTAACGTTATATTAATTATTCCTTTTAAACTACCTCCAAAGAAAAGGAATTAAACATAAATTATATGTTACTTACATAGAGGAAAATATTTGTTTCAAATGCTCGATAAACTTATACATGCAACAAATCACAGTATCTACAATTAAACAATAATATTTACATAATTCTTTATATAAATTACAAAATTAACAATAAAACTAAAATATTAAAACAAATGTAGTTCACAATAAATTTGTTATCGCGCCATTTTAATACTTTTTTTTACACTAAACACAGATAAAGAATAAAAGAGTAAAAACTATTTTTTATTTCTTGATTTTCGAATTTGGAACCATTTAAATTTAAAATCACGTTTGGACAGTAGCGCGTTAGTAATGCGCCCCCCCGTCAACCGTGGAGCACTGACGCGAACTTTAACAACGTGTAATAACAGTGACAATTTGTCCTCATGGGTCAAACTCGTTCCCAGGATTAGGATACAGGACTTAAGCGGAGCGATTTCGAAGAATTGATGTTTTAGAGCGGTGACTAATGACATTATCATTCTTATGTTATCATGAATTAAGAAAAAATACCGTTTTCAGTAACAGTTTAGTGTTTATTGTGTTTTATTTATATTTATTAGAATTATGGTAGTGCAATGTAGAGTAGAATGAAGTTATAAAAACAGAACTAATTTTAAATTAAAAGTATATTTATACATTACTATTAATGAGGAGGTCCTACTTAAGGTATATATAGGTAAGGAAAGAAGATAAATTATAAAATTAATTGTGGTCGTAATGGAGAACATGTTGGAGTACTAGATAAGACACGATGAATTTATGAACATTATAATAGAAGGTACGATAGATGGAAGGAGGGGAAGGGAGAGACCAAGGCCTTGTTGCGTCGAACAGATCAAGGAAAAAGTTGGTGTCGTGTCCTATCAAGAGGTGAAGAAACTCGGTGAAAATCGTAGTGAGAGCCAAGAGCTCCACCAACAAGAGGGTAGCTTATTAAATATTAATTAAATTAAATAGGAAATAAAAAGAATTAAAACCACTATGAGGAGAGGTAAAACCTGGGCCTAACAGTAGCATTTTTGGGTTGCAGTTGTGATTATGTTTTTAATTTTTATGGTAAGTTCAGTCTGTTTTTCAACTCACCGTAGTGGTCTATAAGTTATTACGAGTAGATATAGTACTTAATCTACTGGAGTTGTCACTGACAAACATAGGCATAGAAGGGGCCATTTCTTTCTTTCTTGAGGGGGTCGTCATCAACAATTAAGGAAACTTAATAATCGAGGGATAGGCAGTAGCTCCTTCTTAAAACATGACCAAAGCCTAACTGCGGTTGTCAATCCGCTTGCCAAACATGGCAACTACTGGCAAAACTCCTTAATAGACAGTCTATGGGAAAGGACTATGTTCAGCAGCAGACAGTTTTTTTTACAACACAGGGGGCAAACGAGCATGCGGCTCACCTGATAGTAAGTGACTACCGCCACCCATCATCACTTACAACATCAACGGCATTGCAGCTGTGCTGCCGGCCTTTTTAAAAAGGAATATGCTCTTTTCTTAAAGGTTATGATAATGGCTACTATGACGGTCATCATCTTTTTTTTATACAACTTGCTGCTGACAGCCCACCTGATGGAAAGTGGTAACCGCCATCTATAGACATGAGCAGTACCATGGACATAACAGAGTATACTGTTTCGTCCATGTTACCCCCCAAGCGTTGCTATTCCTGAGGACTCAGGTGTTATTCCTCTGTACCCTGTAAATTCACGCCATATCCCATCCTTCAAACCGAAACACAGCTACTTTAATGTTGAAACACGAATGGGACAGAGGTGCTCAAGCAAACGACTTTTGTATAAAGTCTCCCTCTGGTATCATCATCATTATAGCATTAATTTTTTTATTTGGAATTATAGTTGTGAGCATATCATTTAAAAAAATGACAGAGCAATGTACTCTGAGGTTAATACTGCTCTGCTCGATACATTGGTTGTATTCGGACGATATTATTGATAAATACATTAAATTATTATTTATTACATAGAAAATTAAACTCGAAGATAGAACTACAACGTGTGAATAGAAGTTTGTTGTGTGTCATAAATCTAAGGTAATAAATTTGGGAACATTAAGAATCGGCACCGCCCTTGTGTCTACGAAACTGGAAAATGAATTTATGCAACTATCTAAAAACATCAGCATAATAAAATAAATTTATATTCATAGTGTTGTACAACTATTTATGCTATTATGTCTTTGATCAAAGCATCGATATCGTTAAAAATAAAAATAAAGGTAAAAGATACAGACTGCATAAAATTAAATACAAACGTTTTTTGTTCAAAATTCTCTTGACGATTAGAACGGTTAATATTACTTTGCCGCTGTGAAAAAAGCAGAGACAACTTTTTTAGATTATGACACTATTTTATAATAATAAATAACTAAAAAATGAACAAGAAAAATAATTATATAAAAAAGATAAAAACATCAAAGAAAAAAGAAGAAAGATTATTATTTTGATTATTTTTAGCGCTTAAAGAATGAATACGCAACATGCACATTGCATGAACGCATTCCGTGTTTAATTAACAGTACATTTGTGGAATACACTATTTGACACGTGCTGGGTAATTTAATCGCAGTTAATTGGCAATGAACATCAATTTGATATGATTTGAGATAAACACAGTTCACTTTCAAACCATAATCCATAGTTAACGAACTGTATTAATTGATTTTGCTCGATTATTTAAAATCGAAATTAAATTTACATTTAACTGGAGAAATAAAATTTAATGATATATATAAAAACAAAATATGTATATTTTATACAATATCTATGGCAATTTTGAATACAATTTAATTATTCGGTAGGGTTTATACTCGTATTGGTTCTATATTAATTACTAGCTGTATTCCGCGGTTTCACCCATGTGAGTCAGTATATAAGTATTTTATGTGCTATATTAGGGCATAACCTTTTCCTGTACTAAATTGCATTTAAATCCGTTCAGTAGTTCTTGCATGAAACATGAACAAACATCCATCTATGCTTCTTTAAAAACTTTTGTTTTTATAATGTTAATAGGATAGCACGATTGAAGTAATTTTTTTATGCAACTTGGAATAGCAAACAAGCTGACGGCTTATTTGATGGAAAGTGGTAATCTTCATCTATAGAGAGAAATTCCATCATGGATATCACAGAACACATTTTGACATCCATGGCAGCTTTCATGGGTCATCACTCGTGAGCTCTTAGATATTACGCTTCGTAATCTTTAATTTTACTGTTGTTTTATTGTAGAGCAAAATATTAAATATTTTTTTTTTTATAAATAATTCTAAGTACTATGAGTTTTAAAATATTTGCCTTCAACAAAACGTTTTAACTTTCTTATCCATTCTTCCGTCATAGAAGCAATTTCAAACGCTTTCTTTTTTTTTAACACAAACTATGTTTGGTTACAATAAAATGCGTGACAATAATGATTTTGACGCGAACAAATTACTATAGATAAAATAATATTAAGTTTTTTTGTCACGAATTTTGCGAAATTCTATAGAACTTTGTCTAAGTATATACAGTCATAGAATTTTATAAATAGAAATATTATTAAAGTGATTTAAAAAACGAATTCTTCTCAATTTGACTGTATTTCAGTTAATCAACCACAACCCTAATCCTTAAGTGACATTAATGATATTTTTTTCTATTCAATAGGTTTTATTTTCGTTATTAATAATAATAATAATAGTAATAGTAATACTAGTAATTTTGTCAGGAGTGAAGTTAATTTTTTTTACGGAACAAATTTTAAATTATTCCGGAGTTGATGACGTCAGTATGTTATTATTACATATATTTGGGTAATATCTTATAATAATGCTATAATACTAATTAATTAATACAAATCTTAATTTAAACGTTACATCTGTTAAAATTTTCATTTTATTTTTTATTTGTAAAAATATTTATTCTATATGTATTGTATATGTATTTTCTATAGGTGAAAGAATTTTTATAATCGGAAGTCATTGGGAATAAATTATATTTTTTATAATATATTGAGTACATAGTGACTGTTAATATTATATTATCTGAGTAATGATATAGTTACTTATTTATCATATTATTTTTACACCATATACTTTATGCTTCATATACAAACCCTAAAAACACTTTCTCTCTTTCTCCTTATGGGTTCTCAATATTAACAGGAAGACATCCCTTCAAGAGATAAGTCCGCCTGTGTACATTTTCGTTATAACCTGATTTCTATATTAAAATTAATTTGCAAAAACATTTAAATAAATAAACTAAAAAGAAAATGCTAAGTCGTTTTTTTCTTGAACTGGTCAAGTTTGATTATGATGTCAGAGGCGCTAATTTGTGAATATGGTGTTTTTAGTACATACCTAAATGTTATTATGTCTATATTGGTTCATGATTTCATTGTAGGTGTCTAATTAGTGTTAGAAACTAGTCAAGAATGTAATGGACATGTTTAATTTTAGAGTTCTCTTAAAAGAATTCACTGAACTATCCAATGTCTAAATATGCCTATTTTAATCTTAGTAGCTTAAAAGAATTTTTAAATTAAAATTTTTATTCAGGTCCTTTTTAAGTAGGAAAGTTATTTATAGCATAATAATATCTACTACAATCTAATATGGACAATTATTGACAAACCTGTATGAAGGAAAAAATTGTTCAAATGTTGAACAGTGATATGATGATGATGATGATGTAATCACTAATCATATTAAATTCTAAATTTATTATTTTGGTGTTGAGACAGTGAAACTCATTATCATACAAAAAAGCTACAGTGTAACTATGCATTGATATTTCTATTACATAGGAGACCGACTAAATGTGTATGTACCTATGTATATCTTTGAAAACAGTACCATGGTTTCTGTATTTAGTACCTAAACTATCTAATTTGTCAGTACTAGTTTATTTACTTGCATTAACATTATATATTAGTTTTAGGAATATATAATATTTTTTAAAAGTACCTAAGTAGGATTAAAATGTGGTTGACCTTACAAAGTGGCAGTGTCCACTCGCGCCCACTCGATGCACGACAGATACGTGTATATTATTAAATTATTACGTCCAGACGAAATAATGTTTGTTTTAATCTATTTCTATGACAAAATAGGTAATTGAATAATTACTTTTGATAAATCACGATAGACGTTTACGATTTCGATTTTAGACTGCTATTTAGTTTTAGAAAAACCAGTGTCGTTGGCACGTATCTAAATAAAAAATACGAGATTGTCTTTAATCACTCGATCTGACTTTCTATTTGTCGAGTGTGTAGTTAAATTGGGATATCAGTAGTATGAGGCAAGGAGAAGAGATTTTATCC